TGTGACATAGATCTTTCAGGCTTTTCTAATCCTAGAGTTTTACCATCTATTTTCTATCAGAAGCTGATGCAGCAGATAGGTGTAGGAGACTACTTTCATGCTCGGCCTGCATGACAACTGCTAATCAGATTTGGTTTAAAACTGTTGTTTACACCTGTGAGTTCAGCACGTGCTTCAGTATGAACTAGGGACTGAAATGTGCTCTATGGAGTGTCTGATTAAAGGGTTAGAGGCGGAGCTTCAGCCTACATAGAAAAATCTTATTATTCCCCATCGACACACAAGAAGCCTTTGCTGTCAGGGGAAAGAATTATTTATGGTTTCCAGAACGTTCCACCTCAGAAATGGGCTGAGGCAGAACCTTTAGCTATCGGGTTGTTTTCCAGTGGAACCAGTTCTGGGTACGTGATGCATCTACCTTTAAAATCACCTGTACCTGCATCCTATAGATCATTTACCTTCATGTATGCGGCTTCAGGTGTTCACCTATGAACACATGATTCAATTAAACCGTTCACATGTTGACTTGTTCTCTTGTGCGGAGGTCTTATCATGAATTAGCGGTCTCTAATTATGGTGATCGGGTGTTAGCCACCACACACAGCATATTAAAAATGAACACACACACACACACACCTTCCCCTGTCTGAATAACACCCCCCATCTCCTATGGCCGGTGGGTAATCTCCTGCCTGTGCTGCCTCACCAAGAGGCAAGTGATGATCAGAAAGAAGCTCAAGGAAAACACAACACGGCTAATCCCGTTAGCCCCGAGGAACTCCACGTCTGCCTGTGTGTCTACAGGCTCGGGGCGGACGGGTCCGGGCGAGATAAAACAGTGTGTGCTCGGCATGAGGAAGGCTGCACTTCACCAAGTGTTTCTGACTTGCTGTTGCGTCAGCGCTCTGCAGCTGAGTGGTTAGACGTCCCTTTTGTCCCCATGCTGATCCTCCGCCCACAGACGCTAGCTCTGACTGATGTCAGACAAAAGCGAGGTCAGAAGATGCCACACATGCCTTTTGTAGTGGGAGAGCCTTAAAAGTCAACAGAGAACTGGTAGATCAGCTCTGTTGTTTACCATTATGCTCCCACGCTCCTCCCCCAAAGGATGCCCGTCTCCAGTGCCAGTTGCCACGGTGATACAGTAAGCCTACACACAATGAGACGCAGAACTTTGCAGCAAGTTTGGTAGAGGAGCATTCATTACATAATGCAGCCAGTTTTGGTTGATGGGCAGGATTTGTGAGCGCAGTTGCCATGCAACAAGTTGCTGAGGAAAAGATCGGAGACGGAATTGTAAGGAGATGAGAGTAAAGCAGGAGGAGAAGGGGAGGATGAGATGGGGAAGGACAAAGGTATGGAGGAAGGATACACCATTAAAGGGAAGGGAAGAAAAACGAGGAGGCGGCCATCACAACACTTCGTCAGTTTGAAAACCAGGACTACCATTTCTGTCCTCGGGGTGACAACAGTGGAGAACAAAGGGTCAAGAGCCTCTCTTCCAACCGTCACCAGACGACTCACAAGAGCCGTTTCAGTCACACGAATATAGCCGTCATCCGCCTGAGGGCCACCAGCAGCTTCTTTAGTAATCAGTTACAGCAGATCGCTGGTAGACCAGGCACCAGTCCCAACAGGACAAAGCTAGTGATACTCTCACATTGTTGGGGAGAAGTCCTCCAAGGCCCTGATCTCACCTCGTCTTCACTTCTGGGTAAAATAATTTCATGTGTTCAGTCTGGAAGCTCTGACCGCTGATTTAACTCATTCACAAACTTTAGGCAAAACTTTTAAATATGTAGTGAGAGGACCTACTTACCCTCATAACAGTCCCTGATGGTGTCAAAGTAAACGTAGAACTGGTCGTTGGTGAAGAAGAGGAGGCTGAGCCAGGAATCGAAGGCGTAGATGGGAACGATGAAGAGGATGCGCACAATGTGGCGCTGCTCTCGGGGGGAGGTGTAGAAACGGAGGTGCATGTAGATCTGGAACACAAAGGAAGGGAGGTGTCCATCAACAACACAGTATCTGTGTGGGCTTCCATAGCAGCTCTTCTCTGCTTTTATAGCAGTGCTGCACATCCATGTTTACTCTCATCATAGAAGTGATCCATCAGTTAGTGAAGACCTGGCATTGGGCTTCTGGTCATGATTTTAGTTAAGTTCATGGTTGAAATCACCAACTCTGCTACCCACAGAAGGAATATGGGGGCCTTGATCTCGTCTTGCAACATTGAATTTTAAGGATTTGCAAAGAAAAATAAACTTAAAATGACATTTTTATCACTAGTGTGTGTTAATTAGAACTAATCTGAAAAATCGGGCTGATATAAAGAGCTTCCCTCATGTCAATGTTTTTGTGCTTTGCAGCACAAACACCTGCCAGGGTCGTTGCTTAGCAACCCCTGGTTTTCTCTGGGCCTTCTGTTTGTATTCAAAGGATCACCTCACCTGTGTGTTGAGTAACACACCTGCTAAAGTCAGTCATGCTTCTCTAAAAACACACGATTCATCCCTCCAACCAAAAGCTGAAGCTTGATGATTTAAACCTGAGGTACCTGGTGACAGGTGAGGATGAGCGCAATCCAGACAAAAAATCCAGACACGGCCTGCGCCGCCGGGGTCATCAAGAAGGTAGGCTGGTCCGTGCCCAGGAGTGGGGCTTCGGAGAGCCAAGAAATGTTGGGCCCCATGGGCACGGCGGAGGGTGTTCCGGGATCCCTGCGGAGAGGAGAGTCCTCTCTCGGCCTCTCTGACAGCGGCACGTCTCTCCTCCACAGCCTCAACATCTGCACACAAACATTCAGCTAGCAATCATCAACCGGACTATCGATCACACGCTGGGTGTTATCTGTGTAATCAGTCATCTGACATGGTCAACAGTAGCTACAGAACATACGAGTGCTCTAATTTTCCACATTCCTTCTGAGAACCGTCACACCCAGATGTGGCTTCAGACAGCAAACATGGTTCATAAGATTAAAGAGCAGATTTTAAAGGTGTGGTTCATTTGTTTATTCAATACATTTGCAGTGGTCTCTGGTAGGATCGAATGCCTTGTAAGTCGTACTCTGGGGGAAATAAAAGCTCCGGTGCACCTGATTGAGGAGCCAGAAGTGAGCCAGATCAGAGCTGAGCTTCAGACGGCAGGATTTGGAGTCTCTTTTCCTGATATTTGGACATCTCACTTCTGATTGGATAGCAGCAAAGTGACTCTACCACTGACTCAGTTTGCTTTACAACCTTGATGTTTTGTGGCGGAGTTGCTAATGCTAATGGTTAGCTTCTACTAGCTGAGACGCTCTCTGCTGCTTCCTGGACGCTAAACCAACAACAGCCTTCCTTGTCAAGATGGGTGAGTCCATGAATGTTAAGTGACAGCGTGATGTAGATCTGTCCGGTTTTCCTAACCCTAGAGTTTCACCGTCCCTGTTGAGACAACAGGTGAGGCTGGTGGGAAGAACTACAGAAAATAAATTGGCTTTAACCTTCAGAGACCTGAGCTTTTGTTTTTGTGTGCATATTTTAAAATCTCAGACTCTTAGGAGCTCTTAAACTAACAGAGAAACGTTGTTTTTAAGGAAATTAGTTATAATACATGTTATAATGATTTCAGAATTAAAAATTAGAAATGAAAGGTTTGTTTCCTAAATGAGGATAACAGGTCTAACTTCATAAAATATAGGAATATAGTGAAGAAAAGCCAATGAATCTGAAGAGGTGGTCAATTGTATATTTATTTTTACCGTTACAACAAAACTCCCAGAAAAAAACAAACTAAAGTAATAGTTGACAAGATATTATGCTCAACAGTTTATCACCCATGTATCATTTAAGCAAGAGCCACTTTTATTCTACAATATTTGGGAACCACTGAGTTTGACTTTCAAAACCAAAAACTTTCCGATCTCAGCCTCTTTCATTAATGATGACACCATTCTGGATGTTTTCATTCTGACCTATAAACGCTTTTATCCCTACGCCGTAGGACCAGTGATCATCTCGGAGCATGACTGAATTTAGGTCAGTATGAACAAAGGACGTGATTTACGTGGCTTCCACATGCTCCAGAGAGAAGAAACGTTACACCCGTGGAGATGTGCACGTAATCGAATTATTAACATCAGCTCAAAACGTTCACACAAAAAAGTCGGTGGAAAAAAAGCTTTGGAACATAATGTTCCCCCATATTTCACGTTGTTAATATGTTTTAAGTGGATTCTGATGAATGAGAAATGGAGTCTGAGGTAGAAGACTGTTGTGCGAGTCACGATGGAAGAACGAGGGCAAAACACACTGATACACTTCCATCGTATTTGTTTCCCCAACACACTGTGGCACAGATTTCAGATCTGGGCTCCCTTCTCCCACCTCTTCTCTGCTTTTATAGCAGCAGTGTGTGTCCACGTTACCTTTATGGGATCAGTCATGTTTTAAATCAATCAGTGCGTGTCTACATACGCTATATAAAAGATTGTTTTCTTTCTTTTTTACGGGTCGAGATAATCCAGCTTCTGTTGACAAATCTGTATAATGTTTCCAACTCAGAGTATTTTCAATTTGGCTAACTCCCCTCCATACAGAACCTGTACATCTCCTGGATATTGAGGCGTGCAGGTCAGATAACAGCCGACCCGTGTCACCCAGGACAAACACACGCGCACACACACGCACGCACGCACACACACACATTCCCAGGAGTGAAAACGTACCACTGTTAGAGAAATCATGCTGAGGCAAAGGGACATCTGTGTGTTTCATTTGGAAGGCAAAAAGGTCACACACACACACACACACACACACACACACACACACACACACACACACACACACACACACACACACAGGAATAATAAATTAGAGACAGGGGGTTTAGGAATAAAGCAACAGATGGAAAGGGGGGCTGCTGGGAGGCAGACTGGCTGTGTTGCTCCACAACACGGTGGGCAATAATGATATCAGTGTCAGCCATTCTGGATTATACAGTTGTGGCAATAACAACACAATACATGGCCCATAACTTATGTAAACTTTTATTTTGTTATGTTGCTAGAAATAACGCAAACTGGTGGATAGATCTAGTTTAACACGTTTCTATCATATAAAAGTCATGCTCACTTCCAAAGAAAAAGAACAACAAAGCATAAACAGACCTTATTTACTGCGTGAGGAATGTTTAACAGAGTTAGACGTTTTCCTGAGCCCAAACTCACCTGGCGAAATGACCTCCTGGTTTGAAAGTCCCTTCTCAGCTTCTTTAAACAAACTCTGGGATCAGAATGACCACAGACGGCCTTAATTGTTCGTTTAGAGGTGCACCGTTGCTCCCAGGACATCCATGTTGATCCCTTAGCGGACTGCCCCGTTAGCGTCCCCCAAAAGAACACAAGTCTAAAGTTTGACTCGCATAATTAACAGCCTCTTGTTTCTGCCTTTACTGCTCCGGTTTGTCCGTTTAAGCGTCTAAAGTCGGTGTTTTGAGGAGTTCAAACTGTTAAATCGGTCATTCCTCCCCCGCTAGGCTCCGCTGTAAAACCAATCCCCCACGGATTAACGCCACATCACACCAGCCCCGCCCCCTCCGCGAGGACAATCCTCTTAGCCAATCACAGTCCCGCCACCCGGAAAAGGGCGGAGTAATGGCCTGGACCCGGTGCGCTTGCGCAGTTTTATTTCGGGATCACCAGCGATGAGAAGATGCACGAGTTGTTTCCACGCGCTCAGTGAAAGCTCTTGTTTACAACTTCCGGTCCTAACTATGTAATGTGTGGGCAGTAACTGCGCAGATTAATAACTCCAGTTAAAAAAGATAATAAAACTCCAGTTTAAAATTTACCCTTTCGAGCAGTCGTAGGGGCTTAAAGGACTTTCCTGTGTATGTTTTTGTCCTGTTATAGATGGAAAAGCAGCTCTGGTGGCACAGCCTTCTGTTATCGTGTTGTTTCCTGTAATATTATTGGAAATGTGTGACACAGTTCCACATTTTTTAATGTGATTGAATATTTAGAAGAACAAATGGCATTTGCCTGCTTGAAAATTCAGTTAATAATGCTGTTCACATTTCTCATCATTGTTATTTATTCAAATGACGGTTAGTTTTATTTCAGCTAGATTAAATCTGACTCTTTCCAGTCACTGTGTGTGGTCATTTGTAAACCTAAGAAACAATTAAAAAATCACTTTTCACTTATGATTGGAAGTTTCTTGATAAATGAAGCACAGGAAGTTACAAAAAAAAGTAAAATCTTCATATAGTTGTAAAAAAATGTTCTCCAGTTGGTGTTTTTACTCATGTTTTAAATGCATTTGATCAATGTTCCTTCATATTTTCTTTTACTGATGGCAAAGTCGCACATAAGCAGTCACCACCTGACGTCACTCCAAACACTGCCATCTACTGGCCATCTGTGTAATGGCAACCAATAAATATATTTTATTGATATTAAAAATAATCATAGATCTTTCAAACACGTTTTAAAAAATCTAAGCAGTTTTATTTATTTTATTTAACTTTGCTTAACGTTTAAATGATTTTCAATAATAAGTGTTTTACTTTTTAATAAGTTTAAATTTATTTCCTAATGTCCATAATTATTGCTTGAAAATTTTAAAATATAGAAAGAAAATCTATCAAGCTTTCTCTCTAGTAATTTATCGAATTTTTTTAGCTAAGCAGCAAATGAGAGATGGAACATATTGTGTTTTGGGGAAAGGTGCAAAAAAAGTTCAATTTGAACTACATTTTTTGCAACATTTACCTTACATAAGCAAAACAAAACAAAAAGACTTGCCTAATTCACCAGTCAACACTCTGAATATGTATGAGCAGAAGTCAGATGAGGGTGTGTATATTTTTATTGGGTCAGAAAATATACACAAGTTAGAAAGTTGAAGCGTGGTAGAGAAATATACAGAACACCTGTTCACCCAGACTGACACTGGTCTGATCTAAATACTTTTAATTCTGTTTACATGGTTCCTCCTGTCATCGTCTGTCAGAGTGATCAACCACACACACACACACACACACACACACACACACACACACACACACACACACACACACACACACACACACACACACACACACACACACACACACACACACACACACACACACACACACACACACTCACTCATTTACAGTTTTTTGCTTCAGGGTGTAAGAATATTGTATTTTCTCTCAATCCCATCTTTGATAAATAAATCTGTCACATTCTGGCGAAACATATCTACACTTTTCTGTACACGATGTATAAAATGGAAAAACAAAATAGAGAAAAATGTGACACCAGACTTGTTGGCTTCCAAGATAACTAAACTTTCTCAAGTCTTGTCATACCTGGAGTTACAAGCTGGACTAAGGCTTCATCGTATCACACAGTCTTCCACGTCTCTGTCTTTAGTTTGGTAGAGAACAGGGACCGCTCTGCCCTCGGCCATTCTTCATCTCTCTCCTCTCCTCTATGGTTCATCTATTTAGACTCTTTTGGGTGAATCAAACAAATATTTAAGACAATGAAATGATCTAACTGATCTCTGACTGGTCTCCATAGCAGCTTCTCCTCTGTTCTGCATTTGTTTTTCAGGATGTTTGACTACACTTTTGTTTCTAATAATTACCAGAAAGCAACGTTTTGAGTTTAAATTAACCCACATGTAAACCCCAGGGATTTAAACAGAGTTCTTTTGTGCACTTTGATGTATTGTTGTTATGCAGTTGGTGCCTCTGACTTGACACGAAGATAGGTGAAGCGGGTCTGGAGATCCTCCAGTCTTTCCCTCCGCCTGACAGCAAAGTGTAAAGCAGAACCAGACGTTTCCAGCGTGAAGGTTGATCCAGTCTATCTGTTTCTGGGCATGCTCACGTGGACAACGATCCTCTCAATCCTCGTTTATCCTTCTTTACTCATTCACCATTTCCATTCATTCGTTTGAAGAAGTTTGGGGTGTTTGATGCCCTTCAGCTGTTGAAAAGCAACACACAAACACAACAGAAAGAGACAAATTCAGTGTGACTGTAATAAGGTTCTATATCATTTATATCTAGATTAAAAACACACAAAAACATTATTAAAATTGTCATGAGGTTATATGGATTGCCACCAGTGAGTTCTGGGGTGCCACAAGGAAGTGCCTTGGGACCATTGTTATTTTCCATTTTTATCAATGACTTACCTTTAATTTTAAATCATACCAGTACTCTAATATACACAGATCATTCCAAAATGTATACGTCTGCAGGCACAAATGTTGAACTGTACAGGTTTTAGACAAAGACCTAGTGATAATAGACACATGGATGATGAGAAATATATGAATTTTGAATAAAGAAAATCAAAGTGCATTATTTTAGGATCTAAATACTCTTCATAAGGAAAACCGAGGTGATCGTTAATGGTAGGTGACTCAAACATAGAACAAGTCAGATGCTAATTTATTGGGGGTATAAGTAGATAGACAAATGTCATGGAATAAGAAGAATAGCATTAATTAGATACTGAAGCATTTGCCTTATCAACTGCTTACACAGGTTTTTATTCTGGTCAAGCACATAACATGGCTAGATTACAGAGAGCTCAGAATAAGGCAGCTTGTATGGCCTTTTAAGTGTTCCTACCGTGCTAGCGTACCTATGCTAGTACGTAATGAATTCTCTTCTATCATGGTTAAGTGTGGATTACAGGAAGAAGTACTCACTTCTGTGCTTTTCCAAGAGAGTAGTTAAGAGTAAGGTACCAGAATAATTTCATAGAAAATCTTTTTCACTTTCTGATGTACGTAATCACTCTACCAGGTAGACGTCACACTGCAGGTTTTTGTTTCCTGTGTGTCGAACTACTTTAAAGCTGCTGTCCAGAGATTTCTCTGTTAGGAAATTATTTATGATTATTTAGAAATTCGTAAAAGTGATTGTCTTATCTTGTACTGTGGTATAAAGTAGGAAACACGTCTTTTTTTGTGTGTGCAGTAAGGTTAGTTAATTTTGAACCCTTTCTTCAGGAGGAAAGAACCACAATAAATCTGGCCACATGGTAAGTAGCAGCTATGCTAGGGGAGAGGAGATTCTGTGGTGACGTCATATTTGCGACATGACGTCTGATTTGTAGTCATGCCAATTACAAACTTTTACAAGCTGATAAATCTCAGCACACATCGAAACACACATCATTACTTTTCATTTAAACTAAATTACAACATGTGTGTGGTGCAGGGCGTAAGGTAAAGCGGATTAGAAAATAGCTCTTTTAGCCCCGTTCACTTGCATTCATTTTTTTCGTTCTTCCCGGGACCCATGAGACGACCGGAAAGGGAGGAGACTTAAGCCTAGGGCCCACGGAGACAGATGTGCTGCGGAAGCTCTGCAGTTTTGGGAAGTCAAATGGTCACACAGGATGCGCCGCTGAGCGTTTCTTGGGAAGTCACGCGTTAGTCACAACATGACGCGGGACTTGAGAACAGGAAGTGGAAAGTGACTCTTGTTTTTACACGATCAGACTTGCCGTCGTGTTTTGAGAGACTCTAATTAATTAGAATAAGTACGCTATTTATTAGAATATTTTAAGATCAATAGTACTTTAAAGTTATCAATACTGTGGTTGGGTTTGTGCTTTAAAGCCGTTCCGCATCTTAATGTCTGCTGTAAAGTACTCCACAATGTTGTGAACACCCGCGGTGCTGCTTGAGATAGAACTGACGCCTATCTTCAGCGCCTCGGCGCAGCGCTTCTGGACCGTGTAGCCACTCTCATTAACTATAATGGCCTCTATTTAAAATGACGGTGCAGCGCGGGCTTGACATGGTGCGCTTGTCTCCAGTGTGCCTAGGCTTTAGGCCCAACGTAACGCCCGATCCCGATCCCAATCTAAAACCACACGATTGAGACAGATTTCCAGTCACGTGATTGGATCGGGACATCCTTAGCTATTACCTCAAGAAGAGCAGTTGATTTGTGTTTTAGTCATGGGAAATATGTTAGAGTATGTTAAACGAATTGCCCGAAAGGGCGGGAAGTGAGGCGTTCATGGTCCAAAACTGATTTTCTTTTATAATATGAGCAAGTGTCTTTTGTCCTTGTGAGAATGTGTGTTTGAGTGTAATAACTATTACATGGATGAAAGAGACCAGACCGATGTACCAGCTGTGTGTGTGTGTGTGTGTGTGTGTGTGTGTGTGTGTGTGTGTTCTTACCTGCCACAGACCTGCAGGCCATTGAAGGGAAACTCACTTTGCCAGATGTTCAAATGGCACATTGACCTACGAGTAGAGGAAGAAAACCAAGGGCTTGGAATGACCACAAAATTACATTAAAAATTTTAAAAGTAAGGAAATTAGTGTTCGGTTGGTCATTTGTAACAAGGCGTCCTGGCAATAAAGCACATATTGTTGGAAGCCTCAGGTGTTTCTAGAAGTTTTTCAGAAACCTTTCATTGGACATCAGCTTTTCTTTTCTTGTTCAGTCCTTTTGTCTCAAATGTCAAAGCAACTTAATATTTAAACGGTTCAAAACGTAAGAATCAAAAGTGTCTATTTGTCTAATATAGTTCAAATGATCTGGTGCTGGCAGTAAAGAGCCAAAATGATTCTTTCTGCTTCTTCCATGGCTACGAGGCCCTCTCCTGTGCCCTACCCATCATCAGCGGCTTGTTCTTGTGACAATCCCACATGATTACACCACGGCCCGGACACATGCATGCTAACACAATTCTCTCATACTGCAGCCTGTTGCTTCATGCTAAAAAGATCAAGCCTGCCTATTTTGCAGATGTATTCATTTCAGTCCAGGGCTGGTAACACTTGCATATCAGTGCTAAGTGATTAGCATTAATGCTAATCTTTAAGTCAAAGAGTTGGAGTACCCGGCCCGGAGGGTTACCGGGGTCCCACCCTGGAGACAGACCTGGGGTTGGGGCCCGTGAGCGAGCGCCTGGTGGCCGGGCTTTCGCCCATGGGGCCCGGCCGGGCCCTGCCCGAACCGGATACATGGGCTCATCCAACTGTGGACCCACCACCCGCAGGAGGAACATGAAGGGTTCGATGCAATGTGGATCGGGTGGCAGACCAAGGCGGGAGCATTGGCGGTCCGATCCCCGGACAAGGAAACTGGTTTTTGGGACATGGAACGTCACCTCGCTGGCGGGGAAGGAGCAGGAGCTTGTGGCAGAGGTTGAGCGGTACCGGCTACATATAGTCGGACTCACATCGATACATAGCATTGGCTCTGGAACCCAAGTCCTTGAGAGGGGTTGGACACTCTCCTTTGCTGGAGTTGCTCCGGGTGAGAGGCGGAGGGCTGGGGTTGGCTTTTTGTTAGCCCCAAGACTCTCTGCCTGTGTGTTGGGGTTTACCCCGGGGGATGAGAGGGTAGCTTCCCTGCGCCTTTCGGGCCAGGGAACGGGTCCTGACTGTTGGTTGTGCTTATGCGCCAAATATCAGTTCAGAGTACCCACCCTTTTTGGAGTCCCTGGGATGAGTGCTAGATAGTGCTCCATCAGGGGACTCCATTGTCCTGCTGGGGGACTTCAATGCTCACGTGGGCAATGACAGCTTGACCTGGAGGGGTGTGACTAGGAGGAACGGCCCGCCTGATCTGAACTCGAGCGGTGTTTCGTTATTGGACTTCTATGCAAGCCGCAGTTTGGCCATAACGAACACCATGTTCGAACATAAGGATGCCCATCGGTACACTTGGTACCAGGGCAGCCTAGGTCGCAGGTCGAAGATAGACTTTGTAGTCGTATCATCTGACCTGCAGCCATATGTTTTGGACACCCGAGTGAAGAGAGGAGCGGAGCTGTCAACTGATCACCACCTGGTGGTGAGTTGGATCAGATGGCAGGGGAAGATGCCGCGTAGACCTGGCAGACCCAAACGCATAGTGAGGGTCTGCTGGGAGCGTCTGGCAGAAGAACCTGTTGAGACAGTCTTCAACTCCCACCTCCGACAGAGCTTTGACCGCGTCCCGAGAGCAGTGGGGGACATTGAGTCCGAGTGGGCCTTGTTCCACTCTGCGATTGTTGAGGCGGCTGTTGCTGGCTGTGGTCGTAAGGTGGCCGGTACCAGTCATGGTGGAAATCCCCGTACCCGCTGGTGGACACCAGAGGTTCGGGGAGCTGTCAGGCTGAAGAAGGAGGCCTACAGGGCGTGGCTGGTCTGTGGGTCTCCGGAGGCAGCAGACAGGTACCGGATAGCCAAGCGGGGTGCAGCAGTGGCAGTTGCCGAGGCTAAATCTCGGGCGTGGGAGGAGTTTGGTGAGGCCATGGAGAAAGACTATCGATCGGCTCCAAAGAGGTTCTAGCAAACTGTCCGGCGCCTCAGGAGAGGAAGGCAGCAACTCGCTCACACTGTTTACAGTGGGGATGGGGAGCTGCTGACGTCAACTGGGGCTATAGTCGGATGGTGGAAAGAATACTTTGAGGAGCTCCTCAATCCCACCAATGCACATTCCGAGGAGGAACCAGAGCCGGGAGACCTGGGGATGGACTGTACAATCTCGGGGGCAGAAGTTGCTGAGGTAGTCAAACAACTACGCAGCGGCGGAGCCCCGGGGGCGGATGAGGCTCGTCCTGGGTATCTCAAGGCTATGGATGTTGTAGGGCTGTCGTGGTTGACACGTCCCTGCAACATTGCGTGGTCATCGGGGGCAGCTCCTGTGGAGTGGCAGACCGGGGTGGTGGTCCCCATCTTTAAGAAGGGTGACCTGAGGGTGTGTTCCAACTATAGGGGGATCACACTCCTCAGCCTCCCTGGAAAGGTCTACTCCAAGGAGAGGAGGGTCCAATCGATAGTTGAATCTCAGATTGAGGAGGAGCAATGTGGTTCTCGTCCTGGCCGTGGAACTGTGGACCAGCTCTATACCCTTGCAACGGTGATGGACGGGGCATGGGAGTTTGCCCAACCAATCCACGTGTTTTGTGGATTTGGAGAAGGCTTATGACCGTGTCCCCAGGGGCACCATGTGGGGGACACTCCAGTATGGGGTGGGTCTGTTAAGGGCCATTCAGTCCCTTTACCAGAGGAGCGTGAGTTTGGTCCGCATAGCCCGTAGTAAGTATGACCTGTTCCCGGTGAGGGTTGGACTCTGCCAGGGCTGCCCTTTGTCACCGGTTCTGTTCATTACCTTTATGGACAGAATTTCTAGGCGCAGCCGTGGTGTGGAGTGTGTTGAGTTTGGTGGCAGGAGAATCTCATCTCTGCTTTTTGCGGATGATGTGGTCCTCCTAGCTTCATCCAGCTCTGACCTTCAGCTCTTGCTGGGTTGGTTCGCGGCCGAGTGTGAAGCGACTGGGATGAGGATCAGCATCTCCAAATCTGAGACCATGGTTCTCGACCGGAAAAGGGTGGCTTGCCAACTCCGGGCCGGGGGAGAGGTCCTACCTCAAGTGGAGGAGGTTAAGCATCTCGGGGTCTTGTTCACAAGTGAGGGTAGGAGGGATCGGGAAATCGGCAGGCAGATTGGTTCAGCCTCTGCAGTGATGCGGACGCTGAGCCGATCTGTCGTGGTGAAGAGGGAGCTGAGCCAGAAAGCCAGGCTCTCGATTTACCGGTCGATCTACGTCCCAATCCTCACCTATGGTCATGAGCTTTGGGTAATGACCGAAAGAACGAGATTGTGGATACAAGCGGACGAAATTAGTTTCCTCCATAGGGTGGCCGGGCTCAGCCTTAGAGATAGGGTGAGGAGCTCGGACATTCGGGAGGGACTCGGAGTAGAACCGCTGCTCCTCCGGATCGAAAGGAGCCAGTTGAGGTGGTTTGGGCATCTGGTCAGGATGCCTCCTGGACGCCTCCGCGGGGAGGTGTTTCGGGCATGTCCTGCCGGCAGGAGGCCCCCGGGTCGACCCAGGACACGTTGGAGAGATTACATCTCCAATCTGGTCCGAGAACGCCTTGGGGTCCTGCCGGAGGAGCTGGTGGAGGTAGCTGGGGAGAGGACGGTCTGGAGCTCCCTAGTTGGGATGCTGCCCCCGCGACCCGGACCTGGATAAGCAGAGGAAGATGACGACAACAACGGCTAATCTTTAAGAGCTTGTGGTCATGCCAGTGTTAGTGTTAGGTAACTAATCCCTGTTTTATAGTCAGATTGAAGATGGATGAAGGGACAACAATGTGAAACAAAACCAACCGTTTGATAACTGGGAAAGCCACATCAGAATAGGGCATGAATTTTGAATTATATTATTCATGACATTTGGTCATCTCTCCTCTGATTGGATACCAGCAACGCAACTCTACCACTGACTCTGTTTGCTTGGCAGCATTGATGATTTATCTCCACTAATAACACAAGCCTGAAGGCCTTCAGCCATGTTGTGGCGTTGCTAATGCTAATGGTTAGCTTCTACTAGTCGAGGCGTGCTCTCTCATGGACGCTAAACCAACAACAGCCTTCCCCTTCATGAGCCAAGATGGGTGAGTCCATGAATGTTAAGTGACTGTGTAACTTAGCTTTCTAATCTGAGAGTTTCCCCATTTGTTTCATATCAGCAGCTAATGGAAATAGGGTTAGAAGAAGTAACCAATTATATTTGAAAAATAACATGTATAAAAAGGTTTTTCTGGGAACTTGGTCTTAAATAATACTTTCCAATGCACTTCAGAAAGCCAAAAGACCGCTGATCAAGACCATTTTGTAAAATATCTGAGAGTTTGGTTTATTTTTTAGGTGAATATAACAAACAGGGTGAATGAAGACTTCAAGAGAGAGACCCAAACTGCATAAAGAACCAGCAGGTGGATGCCATGAGGGATTAATGTCAGATTTTAAACTGCACTCTTACCAAAACCATTTTGTGTCACTGGCTGAGATAATTATGGGATTATATGCAAAATAAATCACCTTTCTTAATTTTCCAATCATCCCGGATTACAAACATGTAGCAGTTTGAGTGGAAAAGTCAAACAGAAGTGAAAATCCCACCCAACCCTTACTAATTCTGTCACTACATCAAATGATTATCCAGACCGATATAGTGTGGTATATATTTATCCCAAGAGCCTGTAATCTTTATTATTGTGGTATTAGATTATATTTATCTTTTTAGTTGAGCCTAGAACTTTTACTCCTTCATCCAAAAAGGTTTCAAGGAATTTAGTCTGTTTACCCTCAGTTGGATAAATAATGGATTTTATAAATTAAGGGATCATTGAGATGCACAATCATTGTTGTTAATGCCTCTGGTTTCCCACCTGTGATGAGGTCATGTGCGATTGGTCCAGACGTGCATTGAGATCGGAGGACGAGACGTTGGCTGGGGCCCCGCGGTGAAGTCTCATGGCCACCTTCCTCTCTCGCTCAGCTCGTTCTGCTCTCCCTGCCTGAGGAGAGCGGTTACCTACACACACACACACACACACACACACACACACACACGCACACACACACACACACACACACACACACACACACACACACACACACACACACACACACACACACACACACACTTAAAAGCACAGTCCTGATTCTGGTATTGTGTGACGTTCACACCTCCTCCTAACCTGATGGTTGGGCGCCACGTGCTGCTGGATTCGAGGGGCCGGTGTCTGGCTCGTTTCTTACTCTGTTGACTGCAGAGGCGTTTGGACCAGGAGGCAAAGCTCGACCTCCAGCTCCTCTTTGGCCTGGTCCTGCTCGTTCCTCGCCTTCTTTGCCTTCCCTTCTGTCCCTCTCAGCATCTTCCCCTGTCCTGCTGGCCCCCTGAAGCACAAAGAATCAGCTACAAGTGTTTGCTCGAAGTTAACACAAGAAAGCCAAAACTTGACCAAGTGGCATTTGCCCAGGACTCCAGGAACAGTTTCCTTTCAACAGACAGGACAAAAGTTGGGTTTTGTGAAATAATACAATGGTAGCAACAGAAAGCATCTGTAAAGCATGATGGTGGAAGGCAGACATACAAAAATACTTAAAACTTACTTGTTACAAAGCTAAATTTAACTTCCGATTCCAGTTTCCGATTTGGGAAATGGCTAAAGGGAAACTAAACTCAACTTTTCTCTACTCTGACCATCTTTAATCTGCTCTAGCTCAAAAACTACATCACCCACCCTCTTCAAACCTGTACTTGACACATACAATTCCTCCCTCTTTATTTTTTTACATTTAACAAAACCAAATTACATTACAAATAATACCTTTGCAGGAAAATAAAGAAGTATGTATAAAAAAGGATACAAAGATAACACAACTGTCAGATAACAGTCCAAAGCATTCTAATATATTTACAGAAAAAGATACATAAAAAAATTAAATAAGTTACCAAATAAATTCAATAATAGCCTAATTAAAAGAAAACAACAAAAATAAAGCCCTAGAAACATAATAAATATAAAATGTCAGCATTGTTATGTCCATAATTCAAAGGCTAGAGGGATGAGGGATTACCAATAAAGGCTGAACCTAACACAAGCTTCTAGAGTTTTATTTGGTTTGGGGTTTGCAGAAGATTGGATTGATTGAAAGTATTGTTTAAATTTTTCTTCCTCTTCATTTAAACCCACGTTGAAAATAACTGTAGTGTTGGATGCATGCCGTAGAGCCCCATGCCTCCCCCTACAGTCCGGGAAAAAATGGGCTCACAGCGGAGACGCCGCAGAAGGTCAAAACGCTGCTAGCTCCGCCTCATTTCCACATGGGATGTACACGCGTCAAGCACAACCCAACATCAACACAGCCTTGATGGTTTTACAGTCCACCACGAACCCCTTTGTACCACAATACTCCGTTAAGAGTGGGACCATCTGTTTGAGCCTGGGACAAATCTGGTCATAAAACAGAATAATGTTACTAAAAGTGGCTGAGAAATAAAATGTTGGAGGTAAGGCAGCAACCTTGTCAAAGGACAGATCCATGTGTGGACCAAACCTGAATGAAATACAGCAACAAAGAATAAAGACATAAAAACTCACCACGACAATGAGATACACGCAGGAGACAGCTAATGTAAGTTAGTACCACTAAAATATGGTTTCATGTCAACGTGATGGACTTAGTGGAAGAGTTCTGCAGGTAAAATTCAACAAGAGGCCTTTACTGGAAATGGTTTGGGACTAAAACATGTTCAGCTTACAAACTTCAGCATGTTCCAGTCAAAGACGTAGTCGTACGAGAAGCCCTGTCTGTGGAAAAGGTTCCTGAAGAGCTGCCTCAGATAGGAGTAGTCTGGCTTGTCATCGAACCGCAGAGACCGGCACAAGTTCAGGTATGTGGAAAACTCAGCTGGGAAAGGGAAAACAGGTCCAGGTCAACTGTAAATACAACCTCTGGTGTTTCAGCAGCTCGGATGTTCATGCACAAGTGCCACTCACAAGGATATCCTTTGCAGAGCACCTCAATAGGGGTGGACATCTTCTTTTCGCTGATGCGTTCGTATTTCTGCCGTTTGGTTGCAGCCTTGAGCCCCTGCCATGGCAGAGAACCCAGGTTGAAGTACATGAGGACGTACCCCAGAGACTCCAGGTCGTCCCGTCTTGACTGCTCTGTGGAGACAAAAGGAGTGGATGGAAGAGGAGAGAATGAAGGGAAGGAGAGGGAAGGGAAAGGAAAGGAAAGAAAGGGTTCTTTTGGGAATCTGATCTTACCGATTCCCAGGTGGGTGTTGATGGAGGCGTACCGCGCGGTTCCGGTGAGGTTCTTGTTCTCACGGTAGGGGATGTGCTGGTGCGTTCGGGCGTCACGGTATTTCTTGGCCAGGCCAAAATCGATGATGTAGACCAGGTTTCCCTTCTTTCCGAGCCCCATCAGGAAGTTATCAGGCTTCACGTCTCTATGGATGAAGTTCTTAGAGTGGATGTACTCTATCCTACTGATCTGTGAGAAAGACATGCAAATAAGTGGTATTCATGAAGGAGTACCATGATCTGTCCAATCCTTTTTACGTGAGGACTTAGGTCTTGTGCTTCATGTAACTGCAGCGAAGTTTAATCTGTGAATGGGTTTAAAAATCTCAATCCTCATCCTCTGGGTAAATATCAGTTAGATCAGTGGGTCTGACTGGCAATCAGAGGAGAAAAGACAAAACTAAAGAGGATTTTACATCATCAGCTAAGTGGTTAGGGAATGAGGCCAGTGCTGCCAAGAGACTACGAGATGGAGAAAATATCCAAAAGAATTACATAAGAGGAATAAAAAAGGCTAATAAACGCATTTCTGGGGTTGAGATTGGGAGGTTTGGAGTAAACGACTTTTGTGTTGGAAAGTGTGGCCCAACAGATCTGATCTGTTTACTTCCAGTCTAAAAACAGATTCATCCTCTCACTGAAATCTGTGTGAAAAAGTGACAGTTTAGACAATTTTGCCCCAAGACATTGACAGTCCAACAACTTATTATTAAGGATTTTATAATTATTGTAATTAAAGAGCTTGTTTATTATCATCTAATGACAACATGTGATGAGTCACAGCTCAGGATCACTGAGAACAGAATTTGGTTTGTTTCTCAGAAAGGAGCGATAAACGTTTTGGCTCAGACAGACAGTCTGTCTGTCTGTCTGTCTGTCTGTCTGTCTCTTACCATCTGATCAGCCAGCAGCAGAACTGTTTTCAGGCTGAACTTGCGGGAGCAGAAGTTGAACAAGTCCTCCAAACTGGGGCCCAGCAGCTCCATCACCATAACATTGTAGTCTCCTTCTGCCCCGCACCACTTTATAGATGGAATTCCCACTAACAGGTGAAGGGAAAACAAGGATTGGGAAAGAAAAATGTTCAGTTTGAAATTGATCATGCCACTGTTAGAGAACTATGTATGTTGTAAGAGGTTATAGTTATTACATTACTTCAAAATAAAAACATTTTCCACACTATCACGTTTAGAACCCCAATCTGGGTTGTTCTAATGAATTCACAGCACAGTCAAAATATCGTGTCTCATTTTTGACCAATTTTCTTTAGATTTTTATGCATTAATTACAAAAGTTTGTAAATCAACCAGTTGTTAGAATCGATTATTTGGATGAAATTCAAAGTTTGTTTGTTATGGTGGGATCTGTCCTTAGGCATCCCACAAGGCTGTATTCTTAGTCCTGCTTTGTTTACACTTTATGTGAATGATTTACTACAAATTTACTTTGTTTATGTTTGATGTATGCCCAAATATAATGGCTAAATATATTAGCATTAAAAAGATATTGCAATTTTTGTTTGAAGTGACTCAAACACAAAACTTCATCTCTACATCTTAATTTATATTTGCCAGAAGAACTACCCATGGTTCGAGTTGTTCTTTTAATTATACTGGACTCTAAGTTTTCCTTTAAAATCACATATCTATAGTGTATAACTACAGAGTATAACTACAGTTTATTACTATCGTATTTAACTATAGTGTATAACTAAACTATAGTGCCTGGAGGGTACGTGAACAAAAGTATTTGTCATGGTTAACACTGCTCTGCTCCTTAATGAAACTGGCTCACTGTTACCTTAAACAGTCTGAAGCTGACTCATGCTCACAGTTTCCAGTCAAAGATGCCTTTCTGTGTCCCTGAACCAACTGTTGAAATCCTTGAATGTTCTAAAAGCCCTCTAAATGCACTAAGATGGATCATCTACGCCCCTCCCGACCTCACTCTAACGTCAAACACTTCTCTTGGTGCGTGACTTACCTCCACCCTGCATCATTTTGTAGAATTTGCTCTCTATGTGGAGCTGTGGGTGTTTCGTCTTCACACATTCCAGTTTGATAGCTACTTCCTCTCCTGTTGCAATGTTGGAACCTGATAAGAGAGGAAGTTGCAAGAAACGGCACGTGTCAAAAGGCACTGCAATTTAAAAGTGTGGTTCATTTGTTTAATGGAATAAATGCCGTGGAAGTCGTATTCTGGGTACAAAAAGTCTTGGTGCACCAGTTTCAGGATCTAGAAGATTGCCAGATCAGAGGAGAATGTCAGATGAGAGAATTTGGAGTCTTACTTCATGATATTTGGACAACTCACATTTGATTGGCTAACAGCAACTAGGCTCTGCCACTGACTCTGTTTATTTTCCAACTCTGATGTTTTATTACAAATAACACAAGCCTGGAGGAGATTTGCTGTGTGGTGGAGTTGCTAATGCTATTGGTTAGCTTCTACTAGATGAGGCGCTCTCTACTGTTTCCTGGACGCTAAACCAACAACAGCTTGTGGTTCAAGATGGGTGAATCCATGAATGTAAGTGACAGTGTGTTGTAGATCTGTCAGGCCTTTCTAATCCTAGAGTTTCACCATGCGGCAGTAAACCGTAGAAAATCTGTTTATTTCTTTAAACTGAAGCACTGTTAAGTCAGACGCAGACTTGACAAACTGCATAGCTTCTGGATTAAACCATAATTTGATCAATTTCTTTCACTGTGGCTCTTGCTAAAATCATTTTTTTCACCACACTGGGCTGGATGGGGCTAGTGCAGGGGTGGGCAATCCTGGTCCTCGAGGGCCACTATCCAGCAGCACGTAGAAACCAACAGTCCTCTAAATATTTATGGTCAGTGTTCGCAGTACAACATGGCTGAAAGCTCTCTGTCCAGACAACCCAGGGCAGACCGGAGACCTGTCATGACAGCAGTCAAGTGCATTCCCATATCTCTACAGCACAGGAACCAAGATGCTACTGCTAATCTCCATAAAGTGAAGAACATTAAGGCTACAAGGCTTCCTGTGGTAGGAATGACAAACCCAACCACAGTAGCTACTGGATTTCCACAGCTATGTGTGATGACGTGTTGTGGTTGCATATGGCTCCTCCACATGCTACCGATGCTCCTGTCTGCTGATTTAAATGATCACATTTCCAGTGTATCTTATTTCAGACTTCAGTCATTCAGTTCTAAGTAAACAAGAGTTGTTTTAGTTAAGTCGGCTTTTCCTTTAGCTCTGCACGCCTGCTTCCCCTCAGTAATCAGCTCACCTGTTCTTGCTTCAGTAATCACATCCAACTGTTCACTGATCACTGTTACTGAGCTGGTGCTCAGTGGCCTAGTGGTAGAATGTACACCCTGGGAGTGTGAGATCAGGGTTCAAAACCGGTCTGGTCAAATCAAAGACTTAAAAACTGGGGCCTAATGCATCCCTGCTTGACAGTCAGCTTTGAGGTTGTGGGGTTAAACCATCAGATAGTTCCCGAGCGTGGCCACGGCTGCAGCTCCTCGCTCCCTGCAGGGATGGGTCAGTGTGTGATGATGACTATGGGTCTTTAAAAGCATTATGGCTGTACCTGGTTCTGATGTTTATCTCCTGTTTTTCTTGTGTTTTTAGCTTTCTATATATTTGTTCCAAGCCCTGTTTTCCTGCCTGGTACTCACTAGTTTTGGTCCTTTAGTTTTTACTAAATGTTTCTGAGTTCACCAGCCTGCCTCCTGCACATTGGGTTAACACCAACCAGCCTTGGCATAACAACAGAATAGGTTCAAAATCATTTAAATTAAGCAAATAAAAATTCTCACCAAGGTAGATATCTCCAAAGGATCCACTCCCTATCTTCCTCCCGAGGCGGTACTTGTTTCCCACGCGTAATTCCATTCCTTCTGAGATTTTCAACTCACTAAATAGTACAGAAACACACAAATGTGCACGAAGGTCTAATCAATTACTGGTGCTTGAGGAAAAGGATGATGTGGTGCAAAAACCTGCAGAAGTTTCCATCCCTGCAAGCTGCTGTGTCAGAGGCAAATGAAACAGCCATTTGGAGGCCAAGGAGAAGAAAAGTGAAACAGTGATGTAGTGTAGTTGGATGTGAATCGGTGGAACTAAGAGGGAAAACACCTCCAGCTGTAAGGTCTCTGCAAGTAACTGCAACCGACATACCCAAATCACACACACACTTGTCAGTCTAAACACAAAACCGTGTTTTAGACAAAATTCAAAGCAATGATGAGGTGTTATTTGGAGGGGGGGGGGGGGGGGGGGTTAAAATGAGAGCAGAGGATGTAGTTGCATAATATGATTTACTCAGAGCTGCGGGAGGATGGGTGGGCAGAGGGGTGGAGGGGGATCAGCACCTCACGCACTCTCATGAAAGCACACAGAAGGTTCTACAAGAGAAGAGTGACGAGGTTCAAATGTTTTCTTCATCTGAGCTTTAAGAGTCTGCTCAGAGTTTAGTGTTTACACATAAATCACATTCAGATGCAGGAAAGGATCAGCTGCTGCCAAACCCTCCAACTGCAGCAAACACACACACGCGCGCGCGCGCACACACACACGCACTTACGCACGCATGCACGCACAAAGACATGATGTTTTCTAAGAGCGTACTTCATGCTCCAGATAGCTCAGGATGCAGCAGGAGGTGGTGCAAAACCAGAGATCAGATCAGATGATTCTCAGCAACCGCGCCCTCCACCAGGGAATAATCAGCAAGCACGATCCAAGCGCGCGCGCGCACGCACACACACACACACACACACACACACACCTTGACTAAGCAGCATACACCTCCGACCACACCCCCTCTCCGCCGACTCCCAAGGGCTCTGTCTCATTCAGGACCACGGACAGCGACGCGCCGACGCGGTTCGGGACGACTCATCACCTCCGGGATCTTCCACCCGAACCCCCGGTCCAGATAACAACAACAATAAAATGAACAGAACCAAATAAAATGGCCTTAGGGGACAAAAGCAGACCCGACGAGATACCCGGATGAAACGATTCGTTTCCTTTACCGGATTAACGTAAGTGTGAGGAAAAGCATCAGATAAAAGGTCCTTGCGTGTCCGCTGCGTGCTGCGCGTCTGTCTCCCCCTCACACCCAGTCCTTTCTCAGTTTACACCGCTGACAATATCAATGATGTCATCCGCAGACTCCGGGAGATGCCCGGATTGTCTTAAAGGGTCAGACTCACAAAAGGAGGCATGAATGGAGCTCCTCAGAGCCTCAGCAGCACTCGCCTCTGGACTCCTAATGGGTGAATATCGTTTATTCCTTTAACAGAAACTATCCGACCCACATCTACAGACAGACGTTCTTAAGCATATTGGGTCGTCACGAGGTTCTTCTAAATATTAAACTAACATTTCCATTGCCTGTGTCAGCCCAGATCAGGTTTCGGTCATGAATTCAATCATTAAACATCCTGGATGCTCCGTTGTCATGGCAACAGCTTCCTGGACTAAAGTTTTTAAATTCTGTTCCAACTTCAACTTAATCGAGGTCTGATTCAAAAATTTGAAAACAGGCTGTATTTGATATAGTGCCTTACAGAGTTCTACAGCCCCCCAAGGTGCTTTACAACACATTAATGGGCCATTCCCATCTGTACCTGGTCGGCCCGGCCCGGATAGCATAGCTTGCTTACACATCTTGGTGGCCTGCCTCTTTTCAGGGTGCAACAAGACTGTTTTTCAGCCCTCTTTCTTTCTGACCAGGACCAACACACCCACTGCTGACTGATAAGCTGGCTTATCAGTCGGCAAATTCACACCTTCCATTAGAGCAAGCCTCTGATTGGTGGGTAGAATCAGCCCACATGAGCTTAAGGCATGCTCAATTCATCATCATGCATCACCATGCTGATTACCTAGAAGCTGAAAATGTCTCTGACTGCATTCCTTGCATACCTAAGCAAGGATGTGTGGAATCAACCGGGCCAAGCTGGGGCCGACTGGAGCTATCCGGGCAGGGCCAACCAGGTACAGACTGGAATGGCCCAGTCATACGCCCATTCATACACCGGTGGTGATGGGCTACAATGTAGCCACAGCTGCTTGGGACACCCTGACAGTGAAGCTGCTGAACGGTCCTTCCGACCACCACCAACTGGTAAGGATGGTGAAATGCCTTGCCCAAGGACATGACTGAGACAGACTGAGTGGTGTGCGAACCTGCAGCTCTCCAGCTACGAGGTGGTGGTACTTAACTAATCTGCCACCATCGCCCTATGTTGCCCATCGCCCTATGTTGCCCTTGCATGTATGGAAACAAGTCAGTCAACAAGTTGTCCAAAACCAGTTAGTGCTGATTACATTCCTGATGTCCTGGAATTACCAGTTTAAAACCCCCCACCAATTTCAGTTTTCTTCTCTTTTACACTAGGGATGCACTATAGGTATCGGCAGACGCAAGTCTTTTTTTAACATAGCACCAGGCCGTTATTCACAACCAATATTTTTTCCAGTTTATCTGTTTTAGAGGGTGAAGGGGTGATGTGTTTGTTTAGTCATGCGAGTGATAGTAATCATGTCAGAACCGTAAACCGTTTATGAATTTTCATTCTATACAAAATCTGTTGATTTTAGAAGCATTAATGTCAGTATTTCGGTTATCGGCCATGAGAGTGATCTTAATATCGGTGCATCACTACATTACACTCATTAGTTCATTTTAACTTTTATTACTGTAAACAAAACTAAGAAGCTTCCGTTAATGTTAAAACATGCCACTAAATCAAGTTAATTTACTGACACAGATTTAAAGTTTTTAAGAGACTGTGTTTTCCCTGGCGACGGGCGGCAGTACCATCGACATATATACATATATATCCATCGATATAGACATTTAGGCAGTACATACCTAAATCATAAAAAGCAAGCCATATGTTTGTGTTAAGAGTAAAATCTTACCAACAGATGGCCATTAGGGTAAAAAATCCCTGGGAGCGCAATAATTAAACAAGTATTTTGTCAAACCATTCAACCTCCTGCTTGATAAGCACATGATCAGACTCCCTTTCATCAATGTATTTTGTCCTCATGGGCTCCCGTAGAAGGAAACGTGGCTTTTAATATGGCAATGTCCAGAAACTTGGGCCTGCTTCCATGTATTTTAGACCCAATTTTCATGGGTATATGTTACAAAGCCACCAACATTTTCAACAACTGGGTATCATTTACTTCATTTTTAACATTTTGATGAATATTCCCAGAGATTAAAGGTAAAAACTACACATCGTCACTTTAAAAGTACAAAAGCGCTAAAATGAATCAAAGACCAGACGTTCAACTCAACCTTTATTACCTTGTTCTTTTCTGGTTTAAATTAACTTCCTCCTGTGTTTGTAACATCTGTTATAAATGAAAACATCCTGAACAGGAGTCATAATAAAGACTGACTTAATTTAAATGAAAACATAACAAAAAGGAACACAGTAAATCATAACAGGTAATGTCTTTAACGTGTCTGTAAAACACTGTTCCAGCTCAGCTTGGTATGGTAGGACGCGGCATCTTTACACAAATGCCTTCAGTTGTCTTAAAAACAAACAATACACTTTTATTGCATTAGACAGAAAAAAAATTACAAACGGGATCAAAATGCTGCTAAGAAATACAAAAAAATATAAGAGACATACGCGATAGTGCCGATGGTTTTGAACGTTTAGTCGTCACATTATCCAGACATCTCCAACATCCACACGCTGCCGTTCTCACTAAACTGACATCTATTCTCTTCCTTGACTGGAACGGACAAGTGTTCAAAAGCAAGCGCGCGCACACACACACACACACGTCATGATTTTCTCCTGGACGAGAACAAAAACATTCAACAGAGTAGCAATAAAACACACTCCTGATATTATCTTCTTCATCACATCAGCTTCCATTCAACATGTAACCATCACTCTGTTTTCTCTCTCTCACACACACACACACACACACACACACACACACACACACACACACACACACACACACACACACACACACACACACACAGGGCACCTTGTACAGCGAGTAAATAAGTGATCCAAGTCATCGTTACACCAATATATAACCAACTGAATTTCTTTGAGAAAGAAGAATAAAAGAGCGAGGTCAGTGTTTGAAGGGAAAAAACAAAAAGGAGAAACATTTGTATTTTCACGCGTTTTCTTGTAAAACAAAAGAACAGAACGACTGACGTTCACCAACAGGGAGATACTATTTAGTCTGTCAGGTATAAGAGCAGTGAGTAGCTGATGAGGCAGAGCAACGCAGCTGCAGGTGTGTGTGTGGTCGCTGCAGTCGTCCTGGAAGGGCTTCAGTTGGAGTTCAATCATGTATTGGGTGGTTGGGGAGGGGGGGGGGGGGGGGGGGGGCAAACCCAGAGGCATATAGTGCAAGTTTGGCTGATGTTTGTTTTAGTTCATTTTGACCCTGGGTCCCTCTGTGAAACTATTTTTATGCATGCACGCACGCACGCACGCACACACACACACACACACACACACACACACACACCCCAGTACCGACTACAACTCTGACCTTCCAGCCGTTGCCCCCTTAGGTTGCTGCTCACTCCGTAGTGCCGTGCTGTGTTGACAGTTCTACGAACCTCCCATCTGTCTTCACCTCAAGCTTCTAAAGCTTTAACTCGGGATGCACCGATATGCCAGCCAGGTCTACGAGGGCTCAGTCTGCAAGTCTGAATTAGGAGATCTGACCGTGAAACGGTAAAGGAAGAGAAACGGTGTCCGGCGCACTAACGGCCGCTACCCTGGCGGACGTGTCGGACTCTGGCCGAGCCGCTCTACGGAGCATGCCTGAGTGATCGGATCTCTGGTGCTGATGGGGGATTAGGAGTAAAAAGAGGGGGAGATCTAGTCCTAAAAGGTGATGGGTTTCTCCTTTACCCCCCCCAGTTCAAGTTTTACTGTTTGTCTTCATTTAAAGTTGAATGTGCATGTATGACGATAACGTGTTCATGTAGTAAGTGTCTCCGTGTTGGAGAGCTTCTTCTCATTTCATCTGGACTTGTAAATAAAAGCAGAGTGTAACATGTTTATGTGAGATAACTCAGGGGGGTGTGTGTGTGTGTGTGTCAGTTGCCCATCAGATGGAGTCGGCCCCCCCGCCCAGCAGGTCCCCTGGTAGCAGCGAGGCGGGGCTGCCCATCTGGTGGCGATCCTCAAGTGCTGGAGATCCCCAGAGACTGCTGCTGGGATAACTCGCCCCGCCCACTCCACCCCACAGGCCCTGCCTTCCAGCCTCCACATCTGCGGATACCCCAGCTCCGTTGCTGCTCCAGTGGGTGAAGATGCCTAGGCCGGGCCCCTGGGTGGCTGAACGGTCCAATGAGCTGCCGGTGCTGTCCAGACTTTGCCATCCTGAGCCGGAAGACGTCGCTCCTCCAACCGTGGACGTCGCCTCCACCCCTGCTCCTCCGTGTCCTCCCGCCACGCTCCTCTCGCAGCTCCCTCCGTTACTGCTGGACCCGACAGCAGAGGTTGTGGTCGGCCCTAAGCCTGCAGAGCCAGCCGAGGTTCCTTCACTCCCTGCTCCTCCTAAATGTGCAATGTAGCGACCCACGTCCTCCTCACTTACAAACTCAGCCAATATGGTGGTGTTGCCCAGAACGCACCTGAAACCGACAAACACAATGAAGATATCAAACAACTAATGTTAGATGATACCAACTGGACCGGACCAGGAAAAGGTCTACAACCCAGACCTTCAGATCCATTAATGAGCTTCAGGTTCATGCGGTGATGAGAGAGATGGGGACATGGCGGAAACACAAATGTGTTCGTACCACACTTTTACAGCAAGCTTTATTTATGGGCATCGGAGATCTTTCTAAACCAGCCATGCTAATTTCTGGTTGTAATTTAGTCAAAGTATCTCACTCTCTTCACGTTAGCTACCAACCCATCCCAACGCTGCATCAGTTCTCTCACTTTCACTAAATTGTCAAATATTTGGGAGAAGTTCCCAGCATGACAAAGACTATCAGACAATCTCTGAGAGAATATGCGTCTTGCAAATGATTTGGTAAAAATGTAGTTCCTGCAACTCTCAGGAAGAAGGTTCAGAAGCATTACAACAGAAAATCCTTTCATCGATGCCGTCCCCAATTTGTCTCCATCGGTCTCAACTAGGGTTGTCACGGTGTGAAAATTTAACCTCACGGTTATTGTGACCAAATTATCACGGTTTCGGTATTATCGCGGTATTTTTTTAACGTGTTAGATTGTCAGACAACTAAATAAACCCTGTATCAGGAAATATTGTCCTCTGTCCTTCCAGTGAGCTTTGCAGATTTGGGAAAATGTCATCAGGCAGTAATCATTGCTAAATTCATAATTATTCTCGGAGAGAGACCAACTCTTATCTGCCCCTGGGAGCCCCGTAATGCATAGCGTCATTTCAACATGGGGGTGTCCGCGACACGGTTTATATGCAGGTAGCGGCGCTGCGGCTGCTTTATATAGCGACTCGTTGCATTCTCCCTCAACCCAAATCCTCGGATCACGCATTTTAGCTAAAACGCTAACGTTAGCTTGCCTTGCGTTGACTGTAGAGTTGTGGGTGATGGTCACGCAGATGTGTCATGAGATTTGAAGCGTTGCTGCCTTTCACAGACTCTTTTTCTGCACGTGCTGCAAACAGGATAGCCGTCTTCTATCAACTGTCCCTCGGCATTCTTCAAATATCCAAAAATGCCCGTACTTCCCACTTTGTCTTCTTTGAGGGATAATAAATGTCCTCCTGAACGCTGCCGTCTCCTCCTTTGGCCGTTATTTCAGCTTTAGTTTCAAGAAAGTTTTGGTTGTAAACAACAAAGTGCGCATGTGCCGCCGGCAACTTCAGTAGATGATACGGTGGCTGGTAAGGGTCACCGCGCCTACACCGCAGCCACGGTAATCCACCGAGATAATATAGTTTTTAAAGACAAGGTCGGTTATTATTATTGTCAACTTTTTCACCGGGGTTTACCGCTACACTGGTTACCGTGACGACCCTAGTCTCAACCCAGTGAGATACTGGTTTTAGTGACATGTCCAACATTAGAGGAGCACTTCCTGTGTGGGTCTTACATGTGGAGGGCACTCTGAGCCTTGGCTGCCTCTTGTTTAGAGCTGTATCGGATTAGCGCCGTGCCCTGGGTCAGACCAAGGTGAAAGGTCAGCAGGGGACCATGCTGCATGCAAATGGTCCTCAGAGTGGAGCCATCAATCTGCAGACCAAACACACAAGACAGAGGGTTGCTTTCTTTCATGTTAGACTCAGAGCAAAACAACAAATGTGTCACGTGTCAGATCTGTGTGTACCTGCGGTGTGAGATTACTGAGCACCAACCAGCAACTTTCCCGAGAACTGCCATCGCTCCAGGTCGATCCTGCACGCACACACACACAGCAAACAAAACACAATCCAGTTTTCCTCTCAGCTCCTTAACAGGAATTTATTCAAGTTTTTCTTGCTGCTTTACTAAAATCTTATTTACTCCTTCAAAATAAAAGCTTAAAAGACTTTAAACTTTCCAGACACATGTCATCCATTAGCTTTGATCCCTGTGATGACATAAATCCCTTAAATATATTCAACAAGTCCTGTGAATAAGACAAGAAACCAAAATATTGAAGTCCTGACTCAAACTGGGACACGGATCCTAAAAGAGTTAGCGTGGACATCAAAGTGGACGTAGCATTCGCAACACTCCGTTTCAAAAGAGAAATGTCTTTTTTATTTTTATTCATTTTAATATTTAAGTTGAAAGGGCACGTTTTGGTCATAAGCCACGCCCACTTTGACCTATCATTACTCTTTGTTGGTGGGTTGGTCTGATGGCTTCTAACTGACCAGGTGACCAGAGTGTAAAACTACTCCGTTTAAGTGGTACTGGCACTATCCTGGTACACAATACCATCAATGCAGTACTCATACTTGTGCAATACTAGATTTACATAGTATGTCAGTGTCCCTTACAGTAGGCTGAATAGCTCAGGTACCCACGTTTTTCATTTTTATTTGTGGTTTTAGTGGTTGGAGGCTATAATAATAGCATACTGCCTGTGTGTATATACATGTACCTTTGTTATTGTTTTTCTCTTAACTCATTCACTGCCAGTGACTAATAAAGTCGTCATTTGCATTTTTTTATTGTGTGGGTGTCGGAACGAGCCCCCGCACAGTGAGAACAAACATCTCAGCTCACGTCACGTGATCAGGAAGCAGAACATCCATGTGTTAGGAGATCGTTTTGGACCGCTGCTGTAAAAAAAGTGAGGCGTGAACCGGAAAAGCTTCTGCCGATCACAATTCAACAACGGATTATGAAAGAACGGATAACGCTCGAAACGCGCGGATTCTTCCTGATGTAAGAGATGAGTCTCCGCTTTGTTTTGGCGTCGACATCATGCTAGCGCTCAACGTTCTGTGACTCTTAGAAATCAGTAAAAATGGAGAACCGCTGGCAGCGAATGAGTTAGGTGTTGGTGCTGCTGTAACAAGTGCATTTCCCCGCTGTGGGATCAATAAAGTCTATTCTACTCTAGGATTTAGTCTTCCTACAAATCTGTAGCGCCACGTCTGTCCCTCAGTGGTTGTCTGGTAGGGAGGCGTGGCCAACCAGAGAAACCAGTTAATTCTTTATGTTTAACGGGGATAAGGACAGATAGTAGGACATTGATGCTTTATGCAAAGTTTTAAATGAATGAAGCCAGGAATCCTTGGAGGAGCTGTCGAAATTAGCTTCTGCATTTTTTGCTATCAAGCCAAAAAAATGTAAGCCTGCAGGTCAGACTTTTCTGTGTCGTCCAATCATCGAAAAGCATCAAGAGGAACGTAATACCAGTGTTTCCTGAGCCACTTCCCCAGCCCCGGCCAGCCAGTCGAGGAGCTCCTCCTGACCAGGGGGACAGAGATGGCTGCTTCTGACTGGCGAGCCCAGGAGGGAGGCGGTATAACTGGGCCTGGCTGCTGCAACGACTGGATTTCCAAGACTTGTGTCCAATGGGCTCTGGGGGCCAGCTGGTCTTGTAGTCTGTGTACTTTGCTGCAGGGAGAAAAAAGTAAAAACCGTTTATGTGGAGCGTTAAACACAAGAAGAACGTCTGACTCTGGCCCAACTCCACAGCCTTTGACTTGTGCAGTCACCTGAGTTGTGTGCGTTGTTGGGGGGGCTTTCTGAGGCACTGTAGGGCCAGGCACCAGGTGAAGGCAGCAAGGTGTTCAGGGGAGGGGTGGAATCTGCAAAAACAGCAGTTCCTTCTCTAGTTTACTGACCAATACAAACACTTCTATTCCTCATTTCCGTGAACAGACACACTAAACCATGAGTTTCAGTAAGAACCAAGTCAAACATCAACACATCATCTCCTAATGACGTGGAAATAAGTTTACACAAGTGTGATTATAGGTACCGGTATTATCTTGTAACAACTGGTGCTCAGTGTCATTGAGACTGGGGGACACTGCAGTTCCCATCATGCTCCCTGGGGTCATGTACGGGTCAGACTCGGGGTCAACACGATCAATTCCCTTCCAGGGCACACCGGGCTGGAACTCTGAAGGGGGGAGGGAGGAGAGACACACACACACACACACACACACAGCTGATGAGCCAAATAAACTAGCACCCCCACCCACTGGTGTTTCGTTACACGTAGGTTCGAGGAAGCCAGAGGTTTCTACGGGTCAGGACATTCACACCTGAGTTGCGTTTTACCTTTGCTTAAACCAGTGACCAACAAACTAACGACGGAACTAGATTTCTGTTGTTCTGTACCGCGCGACGGTGAGGCGGCCGCAGCCTCTAACACGCTGAACACTGAATCTGCCGGTAAATCTAAAATGGTGTTTTGTTTTAGAAAACCAAAAGCTGTTTATTTATATCGCAGTTCATTTCCTATTAGTGACATCCAAAGATGAGGAGCCAGGACAACCTGAACATGTGAGGCATTAAATGCACGAGCTTCATCTCCATAGAAACCAGCACCCACCAGGAGGCCAGCTCGGTGTGTTGCTAGCTTTGGCACCAATCTTGTTGCCGGGAGTCCTATGCCAGTTGTCACCTGACCCGTCTCCGACCATCATGTCGTACTGGGAGTAGGGCGAGCTCCCTGGCATCTTGATGGGGGTTACAGGACCTGACAGGTATCCAAACAGATGATTAGATCACCTGACACCAGATGGCGCACTAATCACCTTCACATGTAACTTCATAGCTCAACCTGGTAACCCATCCACATCAACGCTGCAGCATTGTGGTCGCAACATGGACGCTCCAGAAATAACACATCAGGGGTCTGATCTCACCATTCTTGTGGTATGCATTTTCAGGAGAAGTGTCAGGAGAACAGTTTCCCTCCATCATCCATTTGAAACGAGACTGCTGAACCCCCAAGTCCTTCATGGCTCCAGGCCCCCCCACTATGGAGCCGCTAAGGTCCAGACCTGTGCGGTTCACCCCAGAACCAAACCCTGGTCAGAGGAAACAGACAGAATCATTATAACCCGTCTCTGGTTCTACCTGTCTCCAGGTGTTTCCATAAAGCCCATTTGATCCTAGCACCATGTTTGGTGTCATCATGTGAACACGCACCTGTGCCGAGTGTGTTTGTGTTTAGTAGCCATCACTAACCAGAGTATGAGCCCAGAGCTTTCTGCTGCAGGTCGGCCACTGATCCTGCCAGGCCCGGGTGGGGTAGCGGTTCAGCCCCGGGCAGTTTTGGGCCCACTCCCCCCTGGTGGGAGGGGGAGAGCTTAGAGCTGCCACCTAAACCCCCAACCTGCTGGAGCTGCCTCTGCTGCTGGAGGACCGCCATGATCCTGGCCAGCTAACGGGATACAATGAAATAGGATTATGTGGGGTGGAGGAAGTGAAAATACCAAAGCAGTGTGTGTGTGTGTGTGTGTGTGTGTGTTACCTGCTGAGGGTCAGATTGCTGCCGAACATTAGGCGGGAACTTCCTCTGGTTTTGCAGCACCTGCTGCTGTTGTGGTGGCTGCTGCAACAGGAGCTGACAAGCCTGCAGCCAGACGGCAACACAGAACATTTAATAAACACACACAGCTTTTAGGTGTGTGTGTGTGTGTGTGTGTGTTGATGGCGAAACTTGGCAAACTGTCTGGTAAGTGATTAAAAAACAATTCTCCATTCAACTATTATCTGTTTGCATCACTGAAACAGCATTACATTTTATTATGAATGGTTGACTTTCCCCTAACCCAGTTTACTCCCAGTAGACACAACGAACCAGGGAAGTTTTGTTCCTTTTGCCACACTAACACGGGCAAGTCAAAGTTCATGCTGCGTGTATGTGGGGCTCAGCAGGCCCATGATGAGGGTGCAGACATGTGACGCGCTGCTTCTCACCAGCTGAAACTGGATCTGAGGTGGGTAGAAGCTCAGCATGGCAATCTGCTGAGGGGACAGCTGCGGTGGAAACACACCTCCCCCGACACCTGCTATCCCTCCCATGCCACCAACACCCCCCACACTCCCGCTGGAAGGGGGCATCTGCTTCAGCACGGAGCCTGGCACCTGGACACACACACACACACACACACACACACACACACACACACACACACACACACACACACACACACACACACACACACACACACACACACACACACACACACACACACACGCAGTGTCAATGTCACAAAGTGGAAAAGTTTGGATTTAGTTTAAGTTGCATGATTGGTGTTGTACTGTTGAAATGCTTATTTTGTGTTTTGAATGTGTTTTTCCCTTCGTGGTACCTCCCAGAGACACTAATTGGAATAAATGGGAACAGGTGTGGAATGGCCACAGGTGCAATGGAGGTATAAAAGGAGCTGAGGAAAGAGTCCAAGAGAGCAGCAGACACCAGAGACATGCATGAGGCCTGAGAGTGAGAGACGCACCCTGGACGGCGACGTCTCTGGCAAGGACACGAACGCCCGACCACCCTGGAATGCAGAACGGCACCTGGAGCACCGTCCCGGGATGTGGACAAGCGACCAAGTGTGCAGGATTGTGAGTTGCCCTCTCCTCCCCCATGTGAGTGGTGCAATGTTGGTGCTGGTGCCTCTGCGTCTTGTTAGGGCCTTGGGCCGAGGAGGGCGTGACGTGTCCAAGGAGCGGAGCTGTGCCAGGGGGCTGCAGAGAGACTGGCGGTGTGCGCAGCAGCCAGCGGGCGAGAGGACGACGCTGGAGCCATGGCGGCAGCACAGACAGGTTGCTGCAGGAGGTTGACTTTGTGCCCGACAGCTAAAGGACAAGGTGGGGCAGACTGGGTCCCAGCTACGTGGGTCAACACGGGTCAGCTGGAGCCAAGAGGTGGCTCCTTGTACTGGACACCGTCCCACCCCTGGTGCTGCACCGGATGTTTTAGACTGTTTGTAGGACTGCTTTTATGTTTTAGCGGTGTTTTGCTCCTCCAAATAAATGATGGGTTTAGTGTTAAGTGGTTCCCTGCCTGTTCTTTGAACGATGAGTCACTTGTATCCGGAACCTGCAGCCGTGGGCGGGCTGCTACGGGGTGACATCAACACAAATATGCCGCCATCATTAGTGACAGAAATTTACCATAAAGAATTGGGATTCTGTTTCATGTAATGAAGGGACCTGACTTTACCCTGCAAACTGCTCTCCACTCATAATTAAGACACGATCGCTTAGTTACCTACCCACTGGTGCCGGGTCATGTGACTCTCCGGCAACAAGTCATCCACAGGGACTCGACGGCTGAGAGAGTTCTGCTTGCATGTGACCCAATGAACAGGAGGGTGGAGATTAGACATTACTGCTGTAGAAACTGCTTCGAAGTGGAAGGGAAAAGGGACTTCACAGAATCTGGATGTTAAGAAATCCCTTAGGACTACTCAAATATTTCCAGGTACAGACTCTGTAAAATTCAATCAGGGTCCAGCTAATCTTACCCATATATTTTTAACCGGCACTGCCCTGTCGAAATTCTGGGACTGTTTTTAATTCACTTTCACTTATTGTGTCTTGGAGGGTTCCACGATCCCCATTGACGGCTCTATTTGGGGTGTTACCTGCTGGTCACTCCTTGCCATCTCACTTTGCTGATCTGGTTGCCTTTCTTACATTATTGGCAAGGAGAGTTATCCTGATGAGTTGGAAAGACCCCCAACCACCGACCCACTCCCGCTGGATTAAAGATGCCCTCTATTTTATGAAACTAGACAAAATAAGGTTCATCCTGAGGGGCTCGGAAACTGACTTTGCCAAAATTTGGAGGCCGTTCCAAGACCATGTGACCTCTGTGACACTTCACATGGACAATTAACCTTGACCTTGTAGAGCTATCGCCAGCACAGCCACACGTTGGTTGCTTATTTGTTACCGCAGCGCATAAAGGTTTTAGTTATTATATTTTAGTGTGTAGGTATGTGGATGTGATGCGATTGTGGAAAAAGTTATAAATAAATCATATACAAAAAAAAAAAATAAGACTACGAGAGGCAGCGGCCTAGCGAAGCTGTCTAGCTAACAGTTTACTGAATTTGTCTCCATATTCATAGCTGTTACACCTCGCTTTTAAGACCATCTTAGTGGCCTTTCCCATTGACAAGTCATATTCTGTTTTTAGTTGTGATCTTTCTGTAAAAAGGGAGGGGGATGGCGAGATGGAGTATTGATGATCTTTCTATTCAATTGAGCGTTCCAAATCAGCCAAATTTCCATTTTGTGCCTTATTTAATCTAGAGGAGTAGGAGATTATCAGACCTCTTAGATAGGCCTTAAGGGTTTCCCGTATAGTCGAAAGACTGATTTCAGGGGGCTGGTTTGTATCAACAAAGAAACTAATTTCTGAAGTTATAGATTTTGTAAACTCCTCTTCAGCGAGAAGAAGAGAGTTCAGCCTCTAATTATGTCGAGGATGAACTGATACGGTGAGACTGTGGTATGTAGGGGAGTTAATACTTCCAAGTAATCTATTGTCTACCAGGAAGTAATCGATGCGCGTGTATGAGTGATGAACATTGGAAAAGAAGGAGAACACTTTTTTTAGTAGGATAACCAAATCTCCAAATGTCAGACATTTCAAATGTTCTGCTAAGGTTATTAATAGCTTTGGCAGATTTGGAAAGTGGGTACGGTCTACTGGACGATCTGTCAAAGGCAGTGTTAAGGACACAATTAAAGTCGCCCACCCATTATTATGTTGTAGTTGCTTCTGCTGGGTATCCTAGCAAAGAGTTTAGTAATAAAAGTTACTATCATCCCAGTTGGGAGCATATACTGAGATCATAATGACTGGGGTGGAAAAAAGGTGACCACTGACTATAACTTGGCGCCCAGCTGAGTCTGTAATCATGTCCTCTAACTGGAACGGGACATCTCTGTGCACTAAAATTGCAGCACCTCTTGCTTTTGCATAAAATTTGGAGTGAAATAGATTACCGACCCAACTTCTTCTAAGTAGCCTACTCTGGTCCAGTTTCAGGTGCGTTTCCTGAAGGAAAGCAACATCTGTTTTTAGTTGCCTAAGATGGGAGTCCATTTTTTGCCTCTTTGTGACATTATTAATACCTTTTACATTTAACGAGGTAAATGTGATTTTTCGATTGGTATTCTTAGATGTGGAAGTCATGTGAGAGTAGGTAAGAACACTTCGAAGAGATCTATGTTTACAAGCTTAAGAGTATTGATTGATAGTGGTCTTCGAGGAGAAGAAACTGACAAGAGGGGGGGGGGGGGAATAAATAAATAAATACATAAATAAGTTAATAAAAAAGGGGGGTGGGGGTGAGGGGGGAGCACACAGAAATGGTGACACGTCCAGTAAGGTATAATTACTGAGAACTCTGTCAAAACACTCCACTTCTTCTGAACTCTGTTCTGAAGGTTAATGAACACACATAAGATAATGGGAACCTTAGTGTGGGGTACACACAGCCACAACCAAAACATCCTTCACATAGTTCGTGATGGGGTAGGGGATGCACAAAGAACGACAGCTGCAGCATCAGATTTAGCAATACCTGCCAACAGCCATTGTAATATACAACAACTCTTTGATGACTTGATTATTGTTATTATTCTGAGCTACTATAGCAATCAATTTCCCTCTGGGATTAATAAAGTATTTTTGAATTGAATTGAATTTTGACTGCAAGCTGATGCTCCAAGATCATAATGCAATTTTACAGTTAACGCCCATAAACCATATGTTGATGTCATATAGCTCTTTCCCGTCAGTCCCTGTTTGTCTACCCCCCCCCTCCCTTTTTAATATACATTTGAACCGAAACAGAAACCGTCCCTTCCTCCCGGAGAACTTATAAAAAGCTATGAGCTACCTTAATTACGTGTCGGCAGGAGCCGGGATGGGGTCCACTCGATTAACAGACCGGCACGTGGCTCCAGCTGGGTTTATGTCCAGCATCGGGTGGATCTTCAAGGGGGAAAATAAATGTTTATGTTTTCTTCGCTTCATTAGCCAAGAAGGCACGGGCCTCCCCAGGAGAGAGGAAAGTTAGTCTCTGACCAGCTTTATCCGTGACCTGGAGTCTGGCGGGGAAGAACATCCTTTAAGAGTAGCCGGCGCTCCTGAGTTGGGACTTTACATCAGTGAAGGTGGCCCTCTTCCTGGATACCTCGGGACTGTAGTCAGGGAAGATGCGGATTTCAGTACCACAGTAGGACAAATGGCCCATCTCTCGTGCTAGCTTGAGGATTAGTTCTTTGTTCTGGAAGTGATAAGACTCTGGCTAAAGCCTGATTTATGCTTCTCCGTCTGCGCCAGTGCGGAGACACGCAACGCCATTATCCATCCTTGCGTAGGGCCCCGGCAGGCACGCAAGTACGTACGAAGTCGAGCCCACTTTTTTAAACATCTGCCGAATGAGACAGAAAACGCAAGCTTGTAAATGGCCAGGGCACCGCTGTCGTCTACACCGCCACCATTGGGCCCTCAAAAACATAAAAAGAGCCGAGGATAACCAGCGGCAGACACGGAGAAGCTTGAAGAATGCCTCACGAAAAAACTCTAAAATATGAATGTTTAATTCCCCCGTGACTGGAGGAGTGAAAAGATATGCAGCAAGTGTTTTATTTGTGGACGGAAATGACAGGAAATGTCGGTTTAGAGGTGGTGAGCGCATGAAGAGGTGGAGGAGAATGAGAGACAAATGTGTCCATGTTAAAAAGTCTCTTATATACAAAAACACAATATAAACACACTATCTTGGACCGATACATGACAGTAGAGCCCTGCACGGGCCTAAAATCTGAGCCCGTGTCCGGCCCGGCCCGAGGGGGTGGAGCCCCAGCCCGACCCAGTCCGAGAAGGTTTTCAGGATTCTCTGGCCCGACCCGAGCCAGACTTTTTTTTTAACCTTTCATAATGTTTTAGCGTGATAGAATACTCCGCATTCTATTTATCTGTGGGAAGCGTTCTGCAGAAAAAAAAAAAGAAAAAAAAAAGAAAAACAGCATTCATGCAGCTTTTTTGGTAACAGAGCATATTTTTCGAGCGGCAGATGAAATTTACGAACACTATATTAATTGGATGCGTTTGTAAATTTAATCTGCTCTGAAAATGTGCTCTTGTGCAATTAGAAAAAAAAAGCAGCATTCTAATTTTCTAACTGCGAGCGCATTTTCAGAGCGGCAGATTAAATAAACATTTCCAATTAATAAAGCGTTTGTAAATTTTATCTGCCACTCTGAAAATGCACTCTGCAGTTAGAAAAAACCCAGCAATGAATGCTGTATTTTTTTTAACTGCAGAGCGAATTTATTCACAGAAAAATAGAATGCTGCCATTTTCACGAGAATAAACGAATGGTTTCTGACATCAAAGTGGACATAAAATGGCATATTAGAATAGGGGCACATGTTTCAATCAGCAGTTTGAGAATTCGTTTATATAGGCGCATTTATAAACCACACAGACCTTAACTGAGCTAACGGTGCGAGAGAAGCAGGCAGGTGCTGCTGCGTTTAAGTGTTTCAGTTTTTTTATGAATTTGATTAAAAATAAAGACGCACCATCATCTGCGTCAGCCTGAGGAAGCCTGCAGCCACCGGCGAAACGTAGCAACAAAAAGGTAACGAAACCGTTTGTGTTTTAAAAAAAAGAATGACAGCATGGAATTAGAACTAATACACAGCAAGAACACACCTAAGATATAAAAATAAAGGCGCCCGGCCCGTGTCCGAGGTAATTACACAGTCGTTGGCCCGAAGCCCAGCCCTCGGGCCTAGGGCTTCAGTGCAGGGCTCTATATGACAGGATACCACAGAACAGCGCTACACCCTCTGTTGTCCTGCCAGGGAATTGCTTTGCAACACTCCCCAGGAGACGGAGAAGTATGGGAGCAAAACGCTTCAATCAATCCGTGCGTGTCTGTCCCTTGCGGAGCTGACGGAGAAGCATGAATCAGCCTTAAGAGCGGGCGGGGAGCCCCTTCATTCCGGTTCGGGACGCCGGTGCGATGGCCTCTATCCACCAACAGAGGCTCAGGGAACGCATTTAGACCAAAAATCTCTGACAGACACTCCGTGATGAAGACGGTGGGACGGGGCTCTTCAGCCTTTTCAGGTAGGCCAGTAATACGGATATTATTGCGCCTGGATCTATTTTCTAAGTCCTCAGTCTTGAGCTTTAGCCTTTCGTTCTCCTGCGTTAGCATGTTACAGGTAGCTTCGATTTCCAACATTCTGGTCTGTGTGTCATTCATCGAGGTCTCCAGATTCTGTATGGTACAGTGATGTTGTTCAAGCAGTGCCCGGTCTACTTTCAGTTGAGCCAACAGTTTAGTTGCTATCCGGTGCTCCAGACCCTGCAGCAGAGCTTCCATGTTGGCACGCGTTAGCGAGGTGACAGGGATGTTAGCGGCCCCCGCAGCCTGGTTGTTATGGCTTGATTGTAAATTGTCCTCTTCAATGAGTTACTCTGGGGCTTGAGCAGGCTTTTTCGTTGTCTTACCCATCTCTGTGGATGTGTTGTGTTGCTGTGGTATATTTTCAGACAGTTTTGAAAGGATTTACACAGAGCTCCTCCGGCTTGCTGCCTACTCCGCCATTAGCCAAACCGGAAGTCCCCCGTGATATTGATTTTAAGCCATCAGCCTTACGTTGAACCATCCTTTCAAGACCTAAGAACTTATTTGCCAAGTCTGCAAACACTCCAGCAAATGCAAATTTCATCTGACCTCCAGCAGTCACCCTGAAGGTGTCTTATGACCTGCGGTAAAGTATTCGAGGTGGACCTACGAGCTTCGAATACCACAGAATTCCATCGGCAACCTGTCCGTGCCGACTTCTCCAGCTCCTTGATCGCCAGGAACCTTCACCACATGGGTTTGTAGATTCTGCACACTGGTGTGGATGGTTTTACTAATTGATAAATTGTTAAACCATTAAATATACAACCAGACTTATTTTACAACCCAGAAATCACAATTTTTTAAAAACTTAATTAGGCTTTTTAACATAACATCTAAACTCACATTTCATTCATTGTCTCAGTTATATTGTTTAAACCATCATTTATCATAATTTGCTCTGTATCATCGTTAGTAGTAGAAATATAATATTAAATTGATTTTTGTAAATATTTTTGCAACCGTCTCAAATTATTATAAAGTGTTTCCCTAACATTCCCAAATTACCAGGTTTCACCATCTATCAAATATTAAAGGGTCAATAATATTGGTAAACCCTATTTTTATTAAATATTACATATTATGGAACATCTTTATATTCTATTGACAATTTATTAAAAGTCGCCACTTACATCATGTTACACAGAATTTTCAAATCCTAGAGCTTCATCGTCTATTTTCTATCAGAAACTAAGGCAGGAGATAGGTGTAGGAGACTATTTTAAAGTTCAGCCTGCATGAAAAACTCAAGAGTGACTAATTATGATCAGAAATATTAATTAAAAATTGTTTTTCAGTCAACCACACCTTTAAGTTCACTCTTAATATCTGCAAATAGCGTCTGGCTTTTAGCGTCGTGACAAATCGTGATATTTATCATATCGCCAGATTCTTGCTACTACACATTCTTAATAAACTGGTGGATGGGTCTTTTTCTATTACTCACCTCTTTGCCTTTTAGCATGAAAAATATTTGCACTAATTAGAAACGTATGCATTTTCCTTCTAAAACAGATTAAGACCATGTTTATAATTTGACCAATTGTGTCTCCAGCAACAAATGTTTTTTTAATTTGACCACATTTGTGGTATGAAGCAGCAACCTTACACCCGGAACACACCAGACGTGGAAGCTAGACGATGCGCCGTGGAACAACAAGCGCTTCTAATCGGCGCCCTTGTAAACCTACGCTCTTGATCACATCAGTCGCAAAGCACCACAAAGGCTTGCGCCGTGCAGCGCTTCTTTTGGCATGGGCCCTAATTTTTTCGTCAGCTGTGAGTGAGCCTCGTCAATTCTGGCAGGAAGTGAAACCAAAGCAGAAGAGGTAGGCCAGTCAATTTAACAAAATAAAAGAAATTTTTAGAAATTACACACCGCAATTGATAAATGTGATAATTTTTGCGTATCTAAACAGACTAGAGAGATGAAAATGAACAAAGACACACACACACACACACACACTCCTGTGGAGAAACATAGTGTTTGCATAATTTTAAATGCAGTTTTTACATCAAAAAATGGATTTAATAAATGTGAATACAAACAAAACACACAGCAGCAGGATCAATGCAGTTTTTGATATCAACAAGCGGGGCAAACTGGTTACACACACACACACACACACAGCAAGGGCACGGGCGTGGGGGGGGGGGGGGGGCAGCAGGCGTGAGAAGAAGTGCTCGTTGGAACAGAGGAGGAGCGGACAGCAAACGAATTTTGTGAGCGGTCCACTTCTAAGAGCTTCGCAGCTGGTGTGTTCCGGGCGTAACACTAATGTTCCTCTGTTTTGCATGTTTTCTTCTCAAAAGCAAACAGTAAGTGTGAGGAGCTTCCAGACATACAAAATAAAAGGCAATGCAGTACAATGAACGACCCCGTAACTAAATCTCACACATATTGGGCCAAAGCAGAATAAATAATGTGGTTAATAAAGGAATGTAGATCAGACAAGAGGAATCCAGTACCTGAGCAGACAGGAACTGATGAGGCACTTGTGCTCGCATCCCCGGGGACTGATTCATGGATGGGACACTCTGTTGGTGTCTTGAGTGGGCCATTCCTCCTGTACTTCCAAAAATACTGTGACTACCCTGCAATTAAAAGAAAATAATGTTAACAGAACACAAGACTTCAGAGACACACACGACAGATAAAATGGATGGCGAAGGTTATGAAGTATAATAACATTAATTACTAAAAACTACAACAGCTTGGTGGAAAAACAGCAGGACAGGGAACAAAAGGAGCAGTCATCTTACTTGTCTAAAGGGGACAGAGTGGTTGAAGAGGGTATGGGGCTTGCAGACAGTGGGTGGTGAGTACAGAGAGCTGAGACCCTCCTCCCCAAGGCCCCCATCCTGACTGATCAATTGCAACGTCTGTCACAGAGACAGCCATTGGAAGACCAAATTGAGTAGTGGTGAAGGGTGTGGGAAGGGGGAGACAGAGAAATAGAAACAAGACAGGAAAACGGAAAGAAAGAGTAGAATCACAAAAATAGTGATAAAGGCCGAAGGTTTATCTAGACAAAGACGTAAAAGATGAATAAAAGTGAGGCCATACCTTGTCATAGTAAGATCCTGTCTCCACTGGGGCTGGCTCTTTGGACCCAGGAGGGCGAAAAATCACTCCCCCTCCACTTCCTCCAACTCGTCCTCCTTTCCTCATGTCACCATTGTAATCATTCATTCCCATGCCTCTTTTCTCAGCTTCCATCTTCTTCTCTTGAAAGGGACCTAGACCCAGGTCCATGTTTGGGCTGCTGGGGTCATCATTCTGTCCAGGGGAAAACATCTCCACTGTCATACAGAACACTGTAGTCTGTTTCAAAGTTTAAATTGTCAATAAAAACTAAATAAAAGCTCCTTTTTACCAGAATTCCCATGTTAGAGAACTGTCTGTTGAAATGGCTCATCAATAAGTCCCCTCCACCAGCCTTCAGAGGGCCCTGAGAGACGAGCAGGAATCATGATTTCACCACAAGTTCGTTTACGACAACTGAAGGACTTTTTCTGAAACTAGTTTTCACCACCGGGAACACACCTTGTTGCTGGCTTTCTTTACAGCTTGATTTTGTCCCCAACCTCCATTGCTGCCCTGTCCCCAAGACGAGCTGCTTCCCTGGGAGCTGGTGCTGTTCCACATGCCTTCCTCCTCATCCTCCCAGCTCGAGTGGCGAGAGGCTGCCACTGGGCTCTCTTTGTCCACCCAGCCATCTTGCATAGACTTTGACCCTGAATCACAATGAAAGATAAGTGTATGCTTTAGCTCAAAAGGATGTAATTCCATCAGTTTTTAAGAGTTTCTCTCACCAGATCTGACTTTGTTTGACGGAGGATTTCCCCAACATGTCGTCTTCCCTCCCACTTCATCAGGATCTCCCCAACCTGTGGGGGCATCACTTGGTTTTCCCCAGGCTGCGGTGCCATTGTCCACTGTTGGACTAGTTGGAGAAGTGTCCCCCCAGCCTGATGGATCTAAACGCAGATGGGGACATTTTGGCCTAATGTGGTCTCAAACAGTGTTTCAAATAACAACCACAGAAGCAAACATATATTCAGTCAGCCATAAGAATTCTCTCAATTTTCACTTAAGACATATTTAAAATATGCTTATTGACAGGCTTTGATGTCTTTGAGACATTTAGGTTTTTTATTACAACTTATAGATGACTCTTTCCCTTGATTGCAAAACCAAGCTATAATTTACCCATAACAGAGGTTTTAGAAGATCCGTGACTGGCGTTGGTTTCTCTGGTACCACCAAGTCCTGCAGGCTGCCTGCTGGGTTGTTGCAGCACGGGAGGTTCCTGCTGCTTCTGGGGCTGAGGCTGCTGCGGCTGGGGCTGACCTTGGCTGTGTGGCTGCTGGCCAGCAGGTCCGCTGTTTTTGTCCCACAGGTTCACCGGCTTGTAATTGTAATGAGTTGGGTCTCCCCATGCTGATGTTCCATCGTCTATGTCATTCTTCCTGCTTATAGTCTGTGGTGAGGGCTCTTCCCAACCACTTGGTTCAGATCCACCTCCACCTCCTGTTGATCCTCCTCCGGAGACACCAGGAATAGTTCCCGAGGTCCAGCCTGAGCTTTGGTTCTGTGTCTGAACTTGAGAGACGAGCTTCCTCCCCCCGCCCCCTTGCATAGCCCCCTGGTCCAACGCTTGCTGCAGCTGTTGATGTTGATTGCGAGGCTGTGATTGTTGCTGTTGCAGTTGTGCCTGTGGGCCTGAGAAGGAGCCCGATTGGCTGTTTGGCATTTGGTGCATTTTGTTTCCCCCACTCCAACTCTGATGAGGTTTGGACCCCATTCCCCCTACCCCTTCAACCCCCCCTGCTCCACTGCCTCCCCCCCCTGTGCCCCCAGCTCCCCAGGTCCTACGAGGTGTACTGTCGTCCCAACTACCCCAACCACCTACACCTGAATCCCCACCTGAGTGTCCTCCATTCCTTCTCTCATCACTCCAACCCCCTCCACTGCTACTTGATTTGGACTCTTGCTCTAACCAGTTCTTACCTGAGCCAACCTTCGGTTCTGCTCCCCACCCACTCCCTTCACTACTGCCTCTAATTTCCTTCCAACCCCCTGTGCCTTTCTCCTGCTGACCTTCTCCCCAGCCTCCACTGACCGAGTCACCTTGCTGCTCAGTATCACCCCATCCTGATCCCTTTTCTCCTCTACTATTGCCTTTCCATTGCTCATTCCCCCAGTTCTTGGCCTCATGGTCATCCCTACCCCCGGACCAGCCTGCAGCATTTATCTGCTGGCTAGGTCCATGTGCTACCCCTGACCTCATTCCAGGAGCATTTGTGGTCACTGGCCCAGACTGTGAGACACCGTGACTCCTCATGTTGGTGCATGTAGGTGGGGGAGCTCGCCCAGACAAAGAAGCCCCGCTACTACTGCTGTTGCTGCTGCTCTCCCACCCCTCTCCTGAAGACCCAGTTGAAGGAGGGACAGAGGGACTGATACCTGGACCCATAGAATCGCTGCTCAGGGTCCGAGGGCCACTGGGGTACTGATTAGAACCACCAAGAGATGCTGGGTGTTTAGGCGGTGGTAACGCAAGTCCACCTTTTTTCTGTCCTGCATAGTCGTCTACATCCCAGGATGTGTTTTGTCGGATTTGTGTTTGGCCCCACCCAGAATTGGATAGGACTCTAGGGTCTAGATCAGACCGATTGAGCAGGCTTTGTAAGGCAGCTTCAGCTGTAGGTGCCGGTCGCCGAGAACGATTATTGTTAGGTCCACTTCCAGTCCTGGAATTTCCACCACTAGATGAAGACCCTCCTTGTGCTCCCTGTCCTCCTGATTCATCACCCCATTCCCCTGCCTCACATTCTCCTTTCTGATTGTCCCAGGCTCTGGTTGTAGTGGTGGTTGTTGACGAGGAGGAGGATGTAGCAGGTGGGTTATCTGCTGTGCTACCTCCACTACTGCTGCTATTACTACTGCAGGTTCCCATTTCATCTCCTCTTGCAGTTGCTCCACCAGTGCCAGCAGATGTTCCACCCCAATCACCACCAGAACCCCCTCTATTGCCTCCAACTCCTGATACCCCCCATACTCCCTGAGATGCCCCGGAGGTTTGACCACTAATTCCCCCATTTTCAGCACTTCCCCAAGCAGTAGCCCCACTAGTGGAACTAGGAAACCCCCAACCTGAAGCCCCTTTGTCCACATCTGCAGCTCCTAAACCTCCACCTCCTCCAGCCTCCCATCCATCTGTCCTTGAGGCACCCGTTTTGGAGTAAGCAGCAGGGAAGGAAGGCTTGCCTCTCCATGAAGTTGCAAGGCTGGGGTCTCCCGCACTCATCCCGCTTCCTCCCACTCCATGGTCCATTAATTCCCCCCCTGCTATTTTTGGTCCCGCTGATTCACCGTCCCATTTCCCCCCTCCCATTTCTCTGTCTCTGGATTGCATTTGGTGAAGTTGGTGCTGATGGGTGTTTGACTGATTCACAGATATAGATGGGTGACCCCCCAGCACCCCAGCTGCACCGCTTCCAAGCCCCAAGGAAGCAGAGTTGTTGGCAGGCCCTCCAGAGCTCTGGGGATGAAAGGAAGTCAAACCTCCTTCCCCTGCAGCACCGGGGCCATCCTGCTGCACCAGGGCAGGCCAGGCTGAAGGGTTGGCATTTGGACTGAAGTTGGCACCTGGATTCCCACTGTTACCTTCAACAGAGCCACTGGCATCATGGCTCCCTGGCACAGTGGAGGCTTTGGAAAGTGAGGAGGGCTGTGGTAGCAGAGACCCAGCAGCAGCTACTGCAGTACCTCCTCCAAGATGACCCTGGGAGGCAGTCGCCCCCCACGCCAAGTTGTTGGGCGACTGCATACATTCACTGGGCAAAGAGAAAGACGAAGTGGGTGAGGACTGGTTGCCAGAGGCACTGATGCTATTCACAGGCATTCCGTTGTTGCCACTGTTCCCTCCATCACTGCCAGGTATACTAGGCCACTCCTCTAGGTTATTGCCATCAACAATGACCTTCTCCCTGCCTTGAGAGGTGGCCTGGCTGCCTGAGCTGGTCCCCCACATGGAATTTGCATAATTAGAATTAGTTGTAGAAGCAGCAACTGATGAGGCGTGAACCAGTGAAGATACAGCCATGCCAGAATCTGCAAAAGAAAATCCCACAAGAGACAATTTCATGAAATCATATAAACTATCTGAAGAATGAAAATAACCTGCACATTTTTGAATTATCTTTATTCTCAAATATTAACTATGTGAAGTCATAATCTGCCATAAAGGGCTTAATTTTGATCTTGGTGTCTTGAACAAGCAAGTAAACAAAAATGGAAGAAACTTGTGATGGAACCTTCAATATCTGCATAACTGGACAAATTTAACATAGGACAATGCAAACACTTACCTGAGACAGCAGCCATGTTTGTGCCATCTCCTCCCCCACCCAACAGCATGGAGGACAGTGGTGGCTGACCCCTCTTCAGTAACACTTTATGGTCCTGCTGGCAGCGAAATCGTGGCGGCACCTCTCTCGGCATGTAGCGCGAAGCCTGCTGAGGCGTCTGAGCTCCGCCTCCGCTACTCGTACTAGCGTTTCCAGCAGCACCTGGGCCGCTGGCGTTGGAGGAAGAGCTGGTGGTGGAGGTGGACTGTCCGTTGGCCACTGCCAGGCGCTTAGCATTGTTGCCGCCCTGAGATGGGGTGGCAGCACTGCCAGGGCCTGAGGTCGCTGGGGATGGAGACGCAGTAGGGGTGGGTCCAGGGCTGGGGGAGGCAGAGCTGCTCTGAGTGGCAGGAGACTGGGCAGAAACCGGCTTTGTCAAGTCTGGCGCTGGGGAAACGGCCATGCAAGGAGAGATATTGTTAAACACATTAAGGTAAGCACAATTTCATCATCAATTGGTAACAAAAACAGTTCAGTTTGTTAATTGAAGGCCCATTAGATTAAGCACAAAAAACTCACACTTCACAATCAGAGATGACTGGTCGCCATGTGTAGAGCTGATCTGGAGGGCCACTTTCATTTAGCAGCTTGATTCATCACAACACAATAACTAGCTGAATAGATGCAGAAAACCCTGCTAGTTTCTGGCTACAGTTTAAGTCTGGCCCCATCCATGTAAATAAATAGAACACTGTCTTGACTAAATTCACTTCAGATAATTTTTTAGGTTAACGTTTTCTTTATCCATGCAGCGGTGGCCTTGTTTTGTGTTCAAATGTTTATCTCAATATGTTTAGTTTCAGTTATTCCTCAATGCTTACAAAACACCACGACTGGGTGTGCGGGGGACTTCCAGTCCCACATCCTGAGTGGTCAGAGTCCAAAGAAACAACATAGATATTGTATTTAGGCTTTACTTTCATACAGCTAAAGTCATGTTTATGTCTGAAGCCAAATCTGCCATCTACAGCACTGGACCACTTCTGTAACTGACCGGAGATGCCACTATAACCCACAAAACAACTAATATTTAGAAAGAAATATACTTCTCTCAGAAACCATTGTTAACGTGGTTTTAAAATGATAAAGCAGCAATCTGTTAGGTTACTCTGAAGATGTGCAAAACATTTACCATTAATTTGCCAGTAAAACAGGATAATTTGTTAGGATGACGATTACCAGGACATTGTCTGTGGTGATCACAACCTTATAAAATGCTGGCTGTCAGTCACGTGACAAGAATCCAAGCATTCATGAAGCTACATTTACAAAATGATTATTGCAGAGAAGAAACTCACTTTTTTAAAAGAGAAAACATTTTATTTTCTGCTTACCTTTGTTTTTTTGCTCCGTGACCTAAGTTCAAAAATAAAAAATCTGTTAAAACCAGAAACCAACTGGACAGCGTTCAATCTTAATAGCACATAAGCTAATGAGACATAAATCTGATGACACATTAAAAAAAAAAAAGTATATGTAATTATTTTGTATGCACGAAGACAACACCTTAAAAAAAAGCAGCTCACTGCTACAGTTAAACATTCAGAATCTCCCGTTAGTAAAAGTTGAGCTATGACATAGAATCCAGGATCTTGCCTACAAATAGTAAAAAATACTATATTTAAATTTACAGACTTGTACAGAAGATGAAATTGTTTAAGAAAGTTCAAATGAGGAAAAAAATGACAGAATTCATCAAGTCCTTTTAACCCATTCACTGCCAATGACGACTAATGTCGTCATCTGCATTTTATACTGTGTGGGAGTCTGAACGAGCCCCCGCACCATGAGAACAAACATCCCAGCTCTAAAGCCGACCTTCATCCGCGTCCGTCACATGACCAGGAAGCAGAAAATCCATCGTTTTGGGCCGCTGCTGTAAAAAAAGTGAGGCGCAAACCGGAAAAGCTTCTGCCGATCACAATTCCACAACGGATTATGAAAGAAAGGATAACGCTTGAAACGCGCAAATTCTTCCTGATGTAAGAAGTGAGTCTCCGTTTTGTTTTGTTAGTTTTGGTGTCAACATCATCCTAGCACGCAATATTCTGTGAGTCTTAAAAAACAGTAAAAATGCTGAAAAACGCTGGCGGCGAATGAGTTAAATGGCTCTTTATATTGGATAACATTACAACAAAACCATCACAATTTATTAAGAGCAAAGTAGAGCGGAGGAAAATAATCCAATAATGGATGCATCGGGATGCGGACATAAACGATTCTGCATCGTAGAAGAGTACGCCATAATCGATTAGAGTGGAATGTAGTTTGGTTTTTAAATGGCGGCACCAGCGCAGCATCCACATCTGTCAGAGTGAGCGTCCTCCACATTTACCAAGTGGTTCCGCCTTAATGTGGTACTACAGGGCTGAGCGCTAGAGTTGCAACCTGAGACCGAACCGGAACCGAATCAGCCCGACCGGTTCTGTTGGATTTGGGCCGTGAATTATGTTAATTTAGCGGGTTGTCACGCAGCGCGCTCTGCTCGCTCGATCAGCAACTGAGAGAGAGCGAGAGAGAGAGAGGATCGGAGGACGAACCTCCAAACACGCGTTATTATTTTCATAATTTAATTATTATTTCTCCTGGAAGTGCTCAGTCAGAGCGAGTGTTGTGATGTCGGGAGGTCCGGTCTTGGGGAGGGGCGGGGTCAATGACGGCGGCTGCAGCGTGATTGTCTGTCTCTTTTATTTAGGGACACGGAGAAGTTAAAGGGAGAGAGAAATAGAAGATAGAAGTTCTTGTTCCACTTTATTCTTTTGTTTCATGATGATAAACTGATGTTAAATTAGATTTAAAAAACTGGGAGGAAGCTTTGGTTCATTTTAGGTTACAGGAGGTCTTGTCTCCTATCTGCTCCTCCAGAGACAGCATGGACATGAGGGTCCCACAGGACAGGTTAGTGGAAAGGTTTGTAGTTAGCTGGTTAGTGAAAGATTCATCAGCTGGGTAATTTAATCCTAATCCAGCCCACAGCCTTCTGCTGGTGTTATTATCAGGAAGAATAAAACACACATCTTAAATATTATTGGAAGTGTAGAATTTGTTTTATGTTTTATTATTTTCTGCATCAAACAGAACTTGATTCATTCTCCAACATGTCAGAAATGAACCACTGGGTTCAAATAAAATAACAAACTAAGTCAAACATTTCATTTGGTGTTATTTCTGACACCCTTCAACTGCGGCATAAATATTTGACTCTAGAGCTGCTCAGAGACATTAAACACTCATATATGAACCCATTATGTAATTTATTATTACATTATGTGTCCTGTAGGTTTTCAGTACTTTTTTACATTTTGTGAGATTTTGCAAAGCGTGTTTTCTCAGCCTGAGGCGTGGTGTTGAACGAGGAAACGGATTGTTTTACTTTGTTAAATCTTCTTAAATGTTTCAAATGTTTTGTCCTAACCTGTTGTGAATGGAGAGCTTTTGAGGGATGGCAGGTTGTGTCAATTACATTTTTGATAAAAAAATAAATAAAAAGCAATCATCTGACATCTTCTATTTATCGATGAAAACAAATCAATATGAAATAATCGTGATGCATCGGGATATCGAATTGAATCGTTGACCCAATAATCGGAATCGAATCGGGAGACAAGTGAAGATTCACACATCTAGAGTCAAGGGCAAACAGAACGAAGTTGGACCAGCAACACCTGAACTTATATAAGGTCGCTGCTGTTAAAGATATAACAGTTTACTGCTGTCTGAACATCACAACAGAACATGGATGCAAATTATAAGCCTCGTAAAAACAAATGGAAAAAAAAACAAAAACAAGGTAAGGCGGTATTTAACGATGTCCGTCTACAACACATCTACATGAGTAGATTTAAAGTGCAAGAATAAATGAAAACTAACCTTCTGAGAGGTTTCCCTTTTCTTTTTATCTTCTTTTTTCCTTTTCTTGTCTTCCATGAACTGCTGCTCCTGGCCTGAAGCTCCTCTCTGCCAAAACAAACAAGGACACATCAAAATGTGGTCCGAGCCGAGGTGAACTGTTTAAAAACAGCAAATCAACATGAGAGTGCTTCTTCCTGTAGTAATGACATTTAAAACCCGTGAAAATGTAACAGTGAGGGGCAATTACAACTAAACACGCTACTGTAGTTGGCACTAGCATGCTGCTCAGAAACACAGACTAAACACAGTGAGTGTGGGTGAAGGCACGATAGCAGTGGCGGATCTACATTTCACTTGGGGCAAAGGAGGAGCAAAAGGTCTAGGCAGGGTGGCAATAATGGACCTCCTCATTGGAATGTTAAAATCCCTTTAAAGTAAAATCGGTTACACGTTAAAACAATTTTATGTCATTTCTTTTCATGCCTGGGCAACGCTGTGTTTTTTGGCCATCCTAGACCTCGCTATGAACAGAGTCGTGACAAAAATAAATAAATAAGGTGCACATGAGGATGATTTGCAGGTCTGTGGTTGTTCAGTGTGACCGGCTCAGCGACAGCTTATTGAACACTCTCACGACCAAACTCAAAAGCCTTCAAGCACTGAAAACCTACAACTTCAGTTTGCAATCGACCAATGAAAATATGCCCAGGGAGTGACGCAAAAAACTAGTGATGAGTGCACAAGAGTAGCATCAGCAACATTAGCAGCAGTGGAACATGAGTGGAACGCTCCTTTCTTGCAGTTTGGTTCAGAGTCTAATTAACAAAGTCTGCACACTGGTACTTTTCTCTGTTCGTCGTCGTTATCTTGGGCACCTGTCGGAGTTTTGTGACGTTCGCCTTTCAGCGAGTATGTTGTGCAGTTTGGCCACAGTGCCACGTCCCTCGAGTCCTCGCAGTGTGAAAATAAGACCTTTGCGACAGCTGAAAAATGTACAGTTAGGCCTGGGCGACAAAGACGAGGCTCTGCTGTAGATCCACCACTGCAGGAATGTTTCAGCATGTCTATGTTCAATTCATCCTGTCAGCCAAGTCATTGAATTTTCATTTGACAAAAGAAACCACAATCATTCCTTACAGCAACACGTGCAATACATGAGAAGTGACAAATAGTGATAAAAAATAAATAATAAACTAAGCATTTGTCCAAAGGTGCGCAGAGCAGAATCTGAGATACCACACAGGCTTGGGCTTTGACTAGTGGGACATGTTTCATGTAAAATACTGGGATGAACAGATGAATAGCTGTGATGTCAGGAAATGAACCGCAGCCACAGGACAAGGGATCTGTCTCAGATAATGAGCTTAACTCACTTCCTAAAGGATGTTTTAGATAACGTGATGTTTACAGAGACCACGGCAGGTATTGTCTGCGGAGGACGTTTGCCTTAAAAGGAAGAGCTTAGCTAAATGTTGACGTTAGTTTCGTTTTTGCTCTGAAGCTTGAGATACTCCCAACAAACAGGATTCCTGGACAGACAAAACCAACCTGACATCCACCCCCCACACCCGAATCAGGCCTGAAGAACCACAGTCACACCAGCTTGTAGTGTTATTTCTATCTGTCAGATCTCCAGCAGCCCTTCAGATGTGGGGGGCCAAACTCCACCACTATACGCTGCCATTAAAGACCCCCTAAAACCACCCCCTTTCAACCAGCGAACACCGCTGATGCGTTTCAAAGAGGAGCTGCTGCAACAGAACCGAGCACGAACTGAATCACATTTACTAACTTTACAGGTTTTAAATGGGCGCTACCTCGGTGCAGCGCTACCAGCTTATCGAGAGTCGAAGCCAAACTGATAATAAAACATAAACGAGTGTCAGATTTAATAAATACTGTTAAAATGTTCAAAAAGAACACCGTGTCAGTACTAATGAAGGAGTGGTTGCGCTTCTGCGTAAAATACGACTACATGTTAGCGCACGTTAGCATGCCGTGTGCGACAAAAATCACATTCACCCAAATAACTAGTCAGTTGCTATTTATTATAATAAAAAACACTGAATGTAAACGATTGAGCTTAGCAGTAAAGTTAAACCGCTACCAACACTGCTACTGCAGCGATCCACCTAAGCTAACTTAAGTTAACGTTACCTACTGACAGCAGCTTCAAGTAGCCTGATCAGATCAAGTTTCAGCGCTATAAAGGAGCTCCCACAACGCTACATGTTACTGACTCTCAATGTGCTTTTGCATGCAAACAAATAATGTCACAACGTAAAGAAATCGAGCCCAATTCCAGCTACTCACCTCGGGAATCACATATGAAGACGTGCTAGCTAGCTACCTAGCTTAGCTAAAGTGCTTCAGTGCAATTTTTTTCTTTTTAGATTTTTGAGGCATTCGTCGAGGCTACAAAAACAGCGACGCCTGAGCGGAGAGTCAAGTAGGTGGCAGGTGATGAGAATATACGATAAATTTTGCACTAATGTTACAAGTGCGAAGCTCAAATGTGTAGAAGAGGAATTCAAATTTCCAAGCGCTGTGGAGTCAGTCAGTCGGTTGACGGGCGGCCATTTTGCGTCTCCAATTGGCAGCCGCGGGGAAGCTCTGTGACTGGTCGGCTTCTGTCAGGAGGGATGAATAAAACACACTTCTGACCTTCAGAAACTTTTCACTGCCAGTGCATTCCGGGTTATTAGGCTGCCGAAACGCGTGATGAGGAGCAGCTTCTGGTAAAGGAACCCCAGTAGAGAAGGGCTAATTTGTCTCCTTTAATTGATCGGATGGGTCCGAGGAAAAGGAAGAACGAGGATGCTTTGGAGGATGAAAAAGAAGTTGATAACATCACCAAGAAGGAGGAAGCCGTGGAGGAGGAGAGAGGGGGGAGAAAAAGGAGTCGTGGGAATAAATACATTGGTGCTCATGTTGGAATCCAAGGTAGAAACCAGGCTGTGGACAGGGGCGTATCTAAAGAGGTCTAGAATGGGGCCATATAATCTTAGGGGAGCTCACAGTTTAATCATGTTTTGTGGTGTTTTAGACCCTGTACACATGGTTTTGCCTGTCAGCCACACGAAAGTCACCCCTCTGAACACAATTCTTTCTAAAACTCTGACCTGAGCGGACATTTGTCATCACTGGCGCGGCCGCCATGTTGGCGACATACGAGTTCTTGTTGCTTGTTACTACTGACAACAGCGCACTCAGTCTCATTCTTGCGGCTTAATTTAATCTATCATTAATTTAATCGGTTATATTACGCAACTATGGTAAATCGTTGCTGTGTTGTGGGGTGCAACATGTGATCGCCAAGGAAAATGGTGGAAAATAAGCTAACTTTTCACAGTTTTCTGGCTTGGAGGTATAACCACGGAGACCAAGTATTTATAAAAAAATCTCAACAGCTCACTTGGATTGCAGCTGGTAAGTTGCAGATGGTGTACGTTTTTTATGCATTGTTTCTTTCCTTCAACTACGACATGCACACACAGCACACAGATAGGCTACACACGCATAGACTAATGCGGGCACGCTGGCACACAACACACCTTCTCCTGCTACACTTCTTCTGTGGGATGGCAATTTTGATTGTTTTACTAGAAAAACCAGCAAATTAAACTTTTACCTCATCCGGACGTTTACATCCGCTCATACAAACAAGATGGCCCAAAATGTTCGTCATGCAGAGCTGCACCAGCAACAAGTTGTTGTCATTGCTCAGTCTTGGGTCTTTCATATGGATCCAAATCATTTATAATGCTGATGTTGTCCATGTGCCGGTCCCCAACGTCTTTATTTAATGTATCCTTGTATATTCAGCATCATTTAGGGATTTTAACATGTTTAATACTTCCTTCCTCCCAAATCGGCTTCTTTGCGATGTACTGTTTGTTTTCACTGTTTGTTTAGACTGTAAGGCCATCAATATGTCTGCACACGTCCCAGAATGCAACGCATAATCACGTGTGATCCAAGCCCTATTCTCTGTTGACAGCATTTGTCTGTGTATGTAAATAGACGGGCTTTAGGTTTCTCAACATTAGCGCTCTCTACTTAAATGCTCTAACATCACATGTGCAACCTGTGTTTATACTTACTAGCTAAACTTAAAGCTCAATTATTGCTCTATGTAGAAGACCACAGGTGAAAGATGACATTAAGGATGGTTATTACTAGGGATGTGTACTGGTGACATTTTGGCGATAAGATGCATATCACGATACAGGAGAGACTATACAATGTATCAAGATATATTGTGATACATTCAATCAGACACTATTAGCAATTTTTTTTACTGAAATTTTCTAAGGAAAATTCAATAAACAGTCCAAACTGACACTTAACATGTTTAACATGTGGTATCTGAACCATAAATGAGGGATTTACATTTCAATGGTGGAAACAAAACCCACTGCTGCCAACTGGCGGGCGGCATTTGAATTGCACCAAAAGAAAAGAAAATACACAAATGTTTGCATTAGGGCTGGGCAACATATTGAAAATGTATTGTTATCGAAATTTCTGCATCTTATCGAGATTTTTTTCCCATATCAATGCATTTTATAATACAATTGTGTTTAGGTTGGCAATGTTCATGTCTCTTTAAGAAGCGGTACCACTTTGAGTCATGTAAAAGTGTGACAGCCCCATCTAGTGGACAACTTTTGTTTCTTGGCATACCTAGGTTACCTAGTTTACCATAGTTATCGTCCATTTATCGTTATCGAGGTGAAATCCTCAATATATTGTGATATTGATTTTAGGCCATATTGCCCAGCCCTAGTTTGCATGTAAATTCTTCCAAAAATTAGAAACACAGCTTTTGAATATTGCTGTAAATCGCAGGAAAAAATATCACGATTACCATATAGATATTTTCTTACATCTCTAGTTATTACTAGCCACCTACCTATTCTACGTCCAAGAAATGTTTTTCGGCAAAGATTTTGGGGAACTTCTGCTACCTACTGGCTTGGTATACAAATGAATGTGGTTTCCAATGCACTGGATTTGTGTGTGTGTGTGTGTGTGTGTGTGTGTGTGTGTGTGTGTGTGTGTGTGTGTGTGTGTGTGTGTGTGTGTGTGTGTGTAATGAGGTGGTGTGGACGGACCCAAGTTTTTTCTCCTAGAGACCCCTAGCTATGTATGTGCATGGCCTTTGTGTGATCTTTATTGAAAAATCGATTGATGGTTGACCTTGCACCTTAGGTGGGATCTGGAAAGCAGTGGAGTCCTGTGTAGAGATGGGTGGGTACAGTTTTGCCCTGTTCCTGGGCTCTCAGCGGTCCTGGAAGAGGCCTGCACTGGACCAGAAAGCTGCAGAAAAGTTTCAGGAGCAACGTTGTCAGCATGGGTTTGATCCTGCGCACATCCTGCCTCATGGGTCCTACCTGATGAACTGCGGATCTCCTAAAGATGGTTTGTTAGACAGAGGTTTTTTCCTGGTAATTTCCCTTTTTTGCTGCAGCACAACGTCTCACTCTTTTACTGAAACAGATGTCTTTGAAAAGAGCCAGGCCTTGCTGGTGGACGAGCTCAACCGCTGCAGCCTCCTGGGCCTCAGTCTCTACAACTTCCATCCTGGATCCTCTTTGGGCACCATCACCACTGAGCAGTGTGTTGAGAAAATAGCTGGAGCTATAAACCATGCTCACCAGCAGACACCTTCTGTAGTCACAGGTACCATGAACTACCTCAGAAATACCCAGCAGCGATTGATCGTGTTTGTAGTTGACATTCTAGTATGGACACAGTTAGATATATTATGCAGCTCTAATATACTTAGCATCCTTAGTTTTACACAATATTTTAAAAAAATGAGTGGCCAAGATGATAAAGGAAAGTGCTTCATCCATCCATCCATTTTCATCCTCTTATTTAGGGTTGGGTCATGGGGCAGTAGCTTAAGGCCCAGACGTTCCTCTCCCCCAGCTACTTGGGCCAGCTCCTCTGGAGAAAGCTCATTTTGGCCGCTTGTATCTGCGATCTCATTCTTTTGGTCTGTTAATAGCCTGACACGTTTAGAATGCTGTCCCACAGTCAGTGTGCTACTATAATAATATAATAATGCTAAAATGCTCAGATGGGAATCATTTCTTGATTTATTTTGTTACATCCACAATGTTCTGTGTGTGAGGTTTACAATGTCAGAACACCTGCATGAGACACGGTGTTAATTACAATCTGGCAGGCACCACCTTCAGATTTCTCCAACACCGTTAAAAATGATCAAATACGGAACATATCGGCGTGCGCCAGGCCAGAGCGCTGAAGCTCGGCGCATTGTTATTATGAAGCTAGGGCACATGTGGAGGACACACACAAGCAAAATATACTTGTTTTCAATTGCATTTATTGTGCCCACTTACTTTTTCTTAGGCCCACCCACAAATGAGTTTCTGGCTACGCTAATGGTGACATATGACAGACTTCTCTGAGCTCCGCAGCCATTACACTTTTCACCCCGCGCACCCCCTAGCGGCAGCTCGCACTTAGGGAATCCCTGTTCTAAGGGTATAGAGATGGTCCAGTGTTCCACGGCCAGGACAAAAACCACATTGCTCTTCTTGAATCTTACAGACCCTCCTCTCCAGAACCCTGAATAGACCTTACCAAAGTGCTTTGTGTTTACATAAAGTGTCTTGGTGGCACATGTGTCTGTGCTGAGGATATATACTTACACAACTATTTCTGGTGATGAAATAGAGGTTTTTGTAGTTTGGACAACATTTTTAATAACTGAGCTGACACTGAAGTGAAACAATCCTGACTGTTGACTTTTTTAGCATTGTTAAGTGATGTTGATTACTGAAAAATACATCCAATGGGAAAACACCAACCATTTGGTGATATTTACTGAATAGATAGATGCTCCTCCTTTCTTTTAGGTAAAAGTTTGGACGGGCTCAAAAGGCTGAGGGGCAGCTTCCTGTGCGGCTGGTGAACTCCGGCCTTCGACTTGCTCTCTGCACTTTTAAATTGTTTTAATGTATTTTTAAAAAGGATATTTAAATACAATAAAGCAGACAAAACAAAGAAGCCCAAAATACAACAAATATGTTTTTTAAACAAACCCAGTAGTTGTTAATTAGTAATTCAGATGATTGCACTGTTATGCATATTAGTGATTTAACTTGTTCCAAAAGCAGTAGGATGCTTTGGTTCTCTACCCCTAAATGAAATCAGCACACCAGCAGTATCTGTGATAAAAAAGCTAAATAACATCATGTAAATGAATCTGAATATTGCTTATTGGAACGAACACACACACACACACACACACACACTTATATTGCTTTTCATGTGTCCAGTGTTGGAGAACATGAGTGGCCAGGGCAGCACGGTGGGAGGGAAGTTCTCTGAGCTGAAGAGCATCATCCACAAAGTGCGAGACCAGACTAGAGTGGGAGTGTGTCTGGATACCTGCCACGCCTTTGCAGCAGGTGAGAAATCCGCCAGCACTCGTCTCACAGCTGCATAAAAGAGCACCAATAGTCTGCAGTAAGATGGTAGGACCTTTTAGATGGGTTTTATCTATTTCTGGGGACTGTTTTTATTTTCCATACTTAATAGTATCCTGAAATTTTAACTGTTTTTAACTAGCTGTGTACCTTATACCTGTCCCCTATACTCTGTAGCACTTTGAGATTACTTCTGTAATGTAAAGCGCATTATAAATAAAATGTATTATTATTATTATTAGGAAATGCACACGGTGGTTGTTAAAATGGGTTTTGGATGTTACGGACTTCGACGGAAAGCGTATGAACTACTGTCGCAGACTAGACTAGTGAACTAGACCAAGTTCTTGCTTTGCAAAGTTTGGTCTAGGAACGCTCCATTGGAGCCTCCGCAGCCCCTAGCAGCATTCTGGCTGGCCAATCACAGCTCTCTAGAGAGGTTTCAAACTGATAGAGCGCTGTGATTGGTCCACAATGGTGGAATCACAGCTCTCCACCGACTTTGTGGGCCAATCACAGCGCTCCATTGGCTTTGTGGGCCAATCAAGGCTCTCTATTTGTCTGGTGGGTGGGATGACGGAGTGGAACAACATGGCGACAGCTCATTTGAAATGGCTTTTTGGGCGTGGGATTTATTAGAATCAAGGGCAGATAGATGTATTAAAGTCCTTTAATTAGAAAAAGTATGTATTTTACCTTCTTCTTCATTGCAGTGAGTACGTCACGTTGTTCATTGTCCAGTAGAATGCAGACGACAGTAGAACCCGCCCCACAACTGAGATGAATCCACTTTATAACTGGCCCTTGTGTTAGCATATCAATCCAGTCAGACCCACTCTTGGTTGCAGTAAACTGAAGCTTTCTAAAGAGAGAGTCACTCATAACTTTTATACAGAATCTCATTTTATAAATGTCCTGTCACATTATTGCTCCCCTGTGCCTTGAGTTTTTCCTTAATTGTGTCCACCTGCCTCTTGTTACCTGATTACCCATTCCAGTGTGTATATAAGCCTTGTGTGTTGCTTGTAGTTTTGTCGGTTCGTACTCGTTACATGTCAGTTTATGTTCACATCCGTCTACCCTGTTGTGTCTGCACTCCTGACCATTAAAAGGAACCAAATGTCTGCTGTTGTCTGGCCTGGGTTGATTTACCTGCCTGAAGGATCCGCTCTTCCTCCCTCACCTTCCCTCCACATCGTGACAGAACGAACCGACCAAAAGGATCCTGCAGTGAGTTGCCCAGGTCTTCTGGGGATTTCCTGTGCTCAAGATTGAGGAGGACGCGACGCTCGATCGGTGCATCCACAACTCTCCGGGTGGTCGATCTGGTTGTTCTCCTCATCTCCATCTGCTGTTGGCGCTGCTGGCCAGGCACAGCGTAACCTGGCGCCACCTCTGTGTTCCTGGTGGGTCAGGCTTCGAGGTGCTGCGTCTTCGCCTTCTGGGTCTGCGCTTTCAGTGCGGTGTCTCTCCTCTGGATGCCTCCTCTCCTTCTGGTGGGTCGGAGGGGCGTTACGCCGCTGCTGCTGGATTTCCCCATGCCTACTTGTCCTCCTGCTGCTCCTCTGGCTACCTTCGTTACAGCTGGTTAGCGGAGGTTCCTGCTTTGCCCCGCTTGAGAGATCCTGTCTTTCGAGTTTGTATTCCTGTGCTCCTGGTTCCAGTGGTCTCGAATCCCTGTGGCTTTGCCCCGCCCTTGGACGCTGGTCCCCTGACTCTCAGTGACTTTGGTGACTTGTGTTTTTGTGTTGCCCGTGAGCGGGTGCTGCTGGGCGTCAGGAGCCGCCCTTGAGAAGGGGGTAATGTCACATTATTGCTCCCCCTGTGCCTTGAGTTTTTCCTTAATTGTGTCCACCTGCCTCTTGTTACCTGATTACCCATTCCAGTGTGTATATAAGCCTTGTGTGTTGCTTGTAGTTTTGTCGGTTCGTACTCGTTACATGTCAGTTTATGTTCACATCCGTCTACCCTGTTGTGTCTGCACTCCTGACCATTAAAAGGAACCAAATGTCTGCTGTTGTCTGGCCTGGGTTGATTTACCTGCCTGAAGGATCCGCTCTTCCTCCCTCACCTTCCCTCCACATCGTGACATGTCCAGACTATTAGTTTAATTGGGGTGTGTGTTTTTGTGGTGAAACATTCTTGTTCTGATCAGGGTACGACCTGGCTGCAGAGGGAGGAGTGACAGCCATGCTGGATGAGTTTGATCAGGAAGTCGGACTTCACTATCTCAGAGCAATCCACCTGAACGATTCCAAAGGTACAGGCTGGACTTGGCCACGCAGAGTGTCGGCTACAGATTAATGACAGGCTTTATCACTTTGTGTGTGCGTCTGCAGGTAAGCTTGGCTGTCACCTAGATCGGCATGAAGATATTGGTAAGGGCAACATTGGAATCTCTGCATTTCGAGACATTGTCAATGAACCCAGACTGGACAACATCCCTCTGATCCTGGAGACCCCTGGACGGTGCGATAGCTGCAGAATAAAACAACCACATTCCTCATATCCTCAGTTTTCATGTGCATTTTTTACATATCTGTTTCTTTATTCCTTGCAGGCCGGGATTTGAATATCCGGAGCAAATAGAGCTCCTGTATTCCCTCTGTGAGACCAAGTAAAGCTGCTTTATTAAAAGAAACGGACGTCACACAAATGTGATGAAGCACACTGAGGACACTTTTCTAAATGAAAAGATGTTTTTTTTTTCTTTGAGCTAAATAATAAATGTTTTGGTAAAACGTTTTCACACTTTTCAGTCATGCTGTTTACTTTTGGGCCACAAGGGGGCACCAGAAAACCACAAGTAAACTTGATATTCCAATACCTGCTTCAAGAAGTCACTTCTCTAATTCTCACATTAACTAAAATAATCCTTCCTGAGCTTAATTAGGTGGCTAAGTCTACGATGGATACTTGGGTGTTTTCATACGGGTTTGTAATGATTTCACAGATCTAATTAGACTCCATTCGCCCACCACCGAAGGCTTTACTATAATGTTTTTGCCCGTGAGTGTTTGTAAACTAAATGTCTCATGAACCATCAAGTGGATTTTGAGGAATTTCTCTCAAAGTAATGATTAGATGTTTAACTACAGAACTTTCAGAGTGGATCCACCACAGCTAACTGATGCCAGCAGCTACATTAAATGCTTCTCAGTTCTACAGACACTGAGCTAGCAGCTGGTGTGATGGTAGTTCGGTCTTTCCTACACATACGAGATCTTTGTACTGTGGGAGACTAATCCTCAGGAGGTCTTTCATGTTCGAATGTGTTGACGTGAACATAAAACATTCAGGAGTTATGCAAGCCTCTGCCACACGCTACAGATGACGTGGTGAATCATGAACGTTTCCTCTGACGTTTGCTGTGAATCCTGATGTGTGTGGCCGTGTTGACCTACAGTGGGTCCTTTGGTGGGTGGGGTGATGTTTTCATGGACTAGGCTGGTTCCTGCTCATCTCACCGATTGGCTGGTTTAAATTCAGAGATTTGCGCTCAGGCTGATGGCGGATAAAGGACAGAAACACCCTGTAGTGACCTATGTAGGTCTCACTGAAGGCCTGTAACACCACGGAACCACCCCACTAGCCTTTATAGCAGTTGTCGCCCCCTAGGGGGGGGGGGACTGGTTATTTGACACCTACTCTTTCACCCTGTGGTGCAAATAAACTCACACAGAGAAAGTATTTTGTAACTCTTCAGTTTACCATGAAAAAGACCAGATGTTTTTATTTTCAGTCCCCATCAGATGCATCACATCTTTGTTTCCTGTTCTGCTTGCAGCTTCATCTGAATCCACTAACCCACTCAACACGACACCCCCACAAGCCTCGCTCTCTCCCTTTATTCCATGCACAGGTCCAGACATAATGTCTGTCAGTGTGTGGCGTTCACAGAGACAGGAAGTGGAGGTGCCTGGCTGAAGAATGTCTCGCTCTCAGGTCCCACCCACAGGAAATGCCTGTCCAGCCTGTTTGATGAAAAGACGTCTTCTGTTGGTGGAGTTGAGCTCAGGGTGGAGGAACGGGTGGAGGGTGTATGTGTGCTCTGCTGCGTGGATAAACATGTTGTCTGATGGGTTTCAGAGGCGCTGTGGTGATCTGTTAGGGTCAGGGGTCACGACCCAGGGAAGCTGGAGACTGAACAGGGAACGTGCGGTCTTAAACTTGACACGAGTTGTTTTTGGGAGGAGGGCTGTGAAGGAAAACTGACTGAACTTTAAAATGCATTGCTTGGTTCTTTTTTAACAGCAAATTTTTTGTTTTTACCACCAGAATGAACGTACGAAACATGAACTTCAAAATGTTTCTTCTATTATCTAAATATCCTGAGATGTGTGTGGATCTGTCATGTGTCATGAGCTGTTTCCACTGCAGCTGCAGCCCACAGATTTAATTACCTCTAATACCATTAAGTGTCCTTCATTAGAAGCTCATAGTGCACGTTTAAACATCCAGGTGTTTCTCTCAGAAATAAGCTTCAGTTCTCATACTTTTCTGAATCCTTACAGTTTTGCAGTTTCACCATAAATAATCATGCTCTTAAATAGAGATGAAGACATGTCTGTGGGTACAGACTACCATCAAGTTTTCATTTTGTTTTATTGCAGCCGTTTGCTAAAATAATTACAATCATTTTTTTCCTTGTTAATGTTCACACAGCACCCCATGCTGACAGAAAAACAGAAGTTTTGAAATTTCTGCGGAAGTATTAAAAAAAGACTAACTGAAATATCACATGGTCCTAAGTATTCAGACCCTTCGCTGTGATTCATATGTTTAACTCGGGTGCTTTACATTTCTTCTGATGACCTTTGAGATGGTCCTACCGTCATTGGAGTCCAGTTGTGATTGATTACACTGACTGGACTTTATGGCAGAATGACCCGTCAGAAGCCTCCCCTCAGTGCAAGACACATGAAAGCCAGCATAGAGCTTGCTAAAAGACATCTGAAGAACCCTGAGATGGTGAGAAATTAAATGTTATGGTCTGATGAGACCAAGATACAATGTTTTGGCCTTAATTCTAAGTGGTATGTGTGGAGAAAACCAGGCACTGTTCGTCACTTGTCCAATACAATCCCCACAGTAAAGCATGGTGGTGGCAGCATCTTGCTGTGGGGGGACAGAATGACAGTTGTAATCGAAACGATGAATGCGGCCAAGTACAGGGATCTCCTGGACAAGAACCTTCTTCAGAGTGCTCAGGACCTCAGACTGGGCCGAAGGTTTACCTTCCAACATGACAATGATCCTAAAGCACACAGCTAAAATAACAGGAGTGGCTTCACGGCAACTCTCTGACTGTTCTTGAATGGCCCAGCCAGAGCCCTGACTTAAACCACAGTGAGCATCTCTGGAGAAACCTAACAATGGCTGTCCACCAACGTTCACCATCCAACCTGACCGAACTGGAGAGGATCTGCAAGGAGGAATGACAGAGGATCCCCAAATTCAGGTGTAAGAAACTTGTTGCATCGTTACCAGTAAGACTCACGGCTGTGTTAGCTCAAAAGGGCGCTTCTCCTACTGAGCAAAGGGTCTGAGTACTTAGGACCATGTGAAATTTCAGTTTTTCTTTTTTAATAAATCTGCATATAAACTTCTGTGTATTTCTGTCAATATGAGGTGCTGTGTGTTCGCTAATAAGGAAAAAATGAATTTAACGGATTTTAGCAAATGGCTGCAATGTGACAACATTTTGCGGGGGTCTGATTACTTTCTGTACCCACTGTAGTGTCTGTTCTGGTTCTCCAATTATTTTTTTGTTTAGTTATATTAGTATCTCAGTTTCTTCACAAACCAAATGCAGATGGAACAGGTTCCATCAGTAGATGCTAGAACAGTTCTCCAACGTGTGACTGTGTTGTTGAAATCATATTCATAATGTAACACATGACTGCAGCCTTCTTTACATTTTTAATCATAATTGTCTATTTTTTGCTCATTTAAAATATATTTTGAATCATTTTCTAAAATTTTTTTATATTTTATTTTATTTTTTTGTTTTTGTGAAGCATCCCATGATTTTTATCTTGAGAGGCGCTATAGAAAAGATATTTTCTTCTTCATCATCATCTTCTTCTTCTTCTTCTAAAACATGCAGAAAATGTGCTGGAAGCAGACTGCAGCATCATGTATGTCAACTCAACAGGTTGGGGCCACCAGTCTGAAGTTGCAAATGTGGTATTGTGGCCACAGGGGGCAGCATGGGCTGGGTGGCCTGTCATTAACCCTGTAGTCATTTTAGCACATACTGGCTCAAGAAATGGATTTAAAAATACAAAAAACTTGCATAGTATGGCTTTAACTGATATGACATCCAGGAGGTTGGAGTTGTGTCAAGACAGCAGCAATGCACTTTTTTTCTAGGCTGATCTCAGACTGGCAGTTAGCTCATCAATCTTGTAAGATTAAATCTCCATTCCTCCAAAATAAGACCCAACAGAAAGTCATCTACAACAGAAGGGTAATTATTTACACCTTTTCCACAGAAACGCCTGTGAAACAGCCTGTACATCATGTAAAATGAAGTGTCCACAGGCTGTTACAGAAACACCCGTGTTAACAACAAACTCAGATTCTGTATCAGTGCGATTACGGTGCTGTAAAACCGGCAGATCTAAGCCCACAAAGCTGTAGGAGTGAAGACATATCCTGCTGTGAGGCATGAATGTACAGAGGGAAGTTCTGACTTAGAGCTGCTGGATTACTTAGTGGTGATGACAGTTTTAAAAAGAAGAGCTCGAAAGGAGGAGGCTTTACATGACAGCTGACGACACTTGAGGTGGTTCCTTAAACGCTGTCTAGTCCATGACTTTGACTCAAACAGTGAATAAAATGATGAGGATCCAGAGTCCAAGCCAGGGCTGGGTTAAAGCATCAAATCAGAGCTGGTAGACAAAAATAGTCTAAATAAATCCCAAACCAATCTCTTTCTGATGCACAGCTCCTCAGGTTTAACTTTTAAAGCAAAGCATATGTCCAAATTATTTTTTTAAAGAACACGATTTATCTAATGGGTCATTCAGGTATGGAACATGGAGCTAGCTCTGGCTGCAAATCGCTTGGACAACAGGAGATTTATTTAGACTTAAACTGTCAAAGGCAAGCAGAGTTAAAGTCAGCAGAGACAGATGGGGGAGAAATGAAAGAAAAATAGGCTGTATGCGTGGCTTTTCTGTTCCAGTGTGTCTTAAATTTTGGGCTGAGCCAAAACTCCTTTAACCATCTGATCACCACAGCCTGAGTGCTTCATCCGCCTGGTTCTCTGCACATGTGCCACACAGCAACACTCAAGTCCCTTTAGGCTTTCAAACTTACACACACTCTCACAAGTGTTCAGGAGAAACGGGAGCTTCAGATCAGGGTTGACTCAACTCCTTCTCTCTCAGCAAATCTCTTATTTTGGCACCTCAGCAGCAGTGCAGACATCACACCCCGCCTTTAAGATAAGGCATTTCATTCCCCTCTGTGAGAGAAAGTGTGTGTCTGCAGGCTATTTGTATTTTAACCGAGCAAGCTTTTGTGGCCTTAGCTGGAGCGGTGTAATGAGTGAGCAGAGGGACTGTAAACAGACCCGCTGAAACAGGGGAGGTTTAGGACCAGTGAAAAATCTAGAAATCAACAGTTTGCAGAGGAAATGTCTCCTCAGAGGTCTCAGATCTACAACACAGGAGATGTGCTGGAGATGGTTTTTCCCTCTCGTCTCCCCCGTCCGATCCCTCTCTTCCCGTTGGCTC